CATCACTCTTCAAATCTATCAATTTTTTTGACAAACCTGTCATTACTGGCAGTTGCTAACAGGAATTCCTTTGGATGAAACTCAACACAATTAACAGCAGCAGTGTGCTGCTTAAAATCATGAAGGAGTTTTCCACTTGTCAAGTCCCACAACTACAGAGACAAAAAAACATGTTATAATCAGACTTGACTTGTAATGAAATAAATCTCATATGACCTGCAGATTGAAATCAAATAAAGCCATGATCCTTGCAGGTCATTGAAGCCTGGAAAGAATTCAGGCTTCAATGAGATTCAAACCCATGCCTCCCAGATGGTTGTTGGGAGCTACTACCAACTGAGTTACAAGGCCACACGTTGAAAGTTGTGCATATTTTAAAGGGTTTTTGTTTTTACAGTATCACACACATTCATGCAGAATTGTATTCATTTTGCAATAAGGAAAAAGTAGATTCTTAATGCCAAATACTACATAAAATTTTAAGAAGCCTCCATCACCTTAACAGTGTTGTCATCAGATGCTGATATAATCCATCGGCCATCTGGACTAAATCTCACAAAATTAATTCCATCAGTGTGACCCTGTTATGAGACAACAGAATTAAAATGAGTAATGAGACAACAGAATTAAAAGTTAGCCATCCTACCTATAGCCACTATTTTTTTTTTGGTTAAATTTCAATAACTTTTAGCATGGATATCACTGTGGAATACTGGTAATTAATGCATTTATAAGGTCAAATGACCTTTTCAATGGCTTACATTAATATTAATTACTTGGTATTAAAAAAAATATCATTGTAGTGAGAGCACAATTTTAACAATTACCTTTAATGTGACTATACAACCTTTTCGTCTGACATCCCAAAGCTGAGAGAAAATAAAATCATTCCCATTACATCATTCATTCATTTCTGCCACATTTTCCAAGTTTTCTTTCATCACCAGTTGCTTAATACTTACACAATAGACAATATTCCTCCATTGTACTGACCTATCTACATATGTTTTTCTTCACCATACACAGCAAAGTTTCCATCACACAAAGAAATAGCTCCCTAGTCTTCCTACTCTTTGCCATCAATTAATTCCACAAAAGTTAACAGCATAAAATTAATCCTTTATCAACCATTTGAAATAACTATCATCATAGTATTTGTCTAGCATTTGTTTGATAACATATCTAACTGTGCCAACATGTTTCTGTATTGTATCATGGCCAAAGAGTATATTAATTCCTTATACTCAGGAAATGCCTACACCTAAACTCCAGAGAGAGGTTCTACCAAGAGGTAATGGTCAATTTTTGGCTATAATTTTGTTTTTCTTGGTGAGACTTAAAGTTTGCTACTTTTTTGAAATCATGGTGATAAAGTCCCAATAAAAATTTGTAACTTTACAGCATCTCATATCACCTTTTCATCAGTGGATTACTCAATATACAACTTGTATTGGTTAAAACTCTTACCTTTACATTTGTGTCTAAAGAACCTGATGCTACAAATTCACCATAGGGGTGAAAGTCTATACCACGTATACTACTCTTGTGACCAGTCAGGGTTCTGACAACTGAAAAAAAGACATAACATGATTGAGTAGATAATAAACATGTGGTTAGAGTCTATGATGGAAATATAATGGTTACTATGTTTGATTCAGCATTGAGAGGTCCAGTATTGTACCCTGAACAAATCAATTGTTCTTGGGAAGGTAATCCCCTCTTGAAATATTCCTCTTCACCTGGGAATAAATGTGGATACCAACAAGTCATAATAATTGCTATGGAAACCAGGATATGTGACCCTAGCAACAAGCTAGTAGAGTCCACATACTAAACCCTTAACACCCCAACATCAGTATGTAAATTCTCACAATGTTGCCCATTCCCCAGTTTCTGTTATTCCTTTTATAAAGCAGACAGGTCTCTTATGATGACCACCCTGAACATGTGTGTGTTAAATTTCAACTCACTCTTGGCAGCTTCTAAATCCCAAATCTTCAGTGTTCCTGACTGGGATCCTGCGATAACAAGATCCTCCCCACTGTTAAACTGGACATATTCTACAGGACTTGTGTGGCCTGACAGAGTCTGTATGAATTAAAAATTTTAAAAGACAACATCATCATTCTTCTTATGGTTATCATCATCACATAGCAATAACCATCAATCACCTATTAATCATATTGCAGTAATTTTATGACTTTCCAGAGGTTTTGTTAATCAAGGACAGAGACAGCTCTATATTTCTTGAACTTAAAGTTTGAAAAAATAAATCTGTAAAGTTTAAATCAAACTTAAAGCAGTGAATTAGACCCGTATCACAACAATGTGCAGTGTTTAGAGTAATCCGGAGGTATATTCTGGTTGTTAAGGAAAAACGCATTAAGGGATGACAATGAAAAAATCATGTTAGACTGTAATTTCCTTCATATCAGGCACTTCACTTTGATTAGAATATGTACCTCTGGCAAAGGCTAGATAAAAGTACTTGACCTTAAAATATTGCACTTGTTCTTACCAGGATTACATTTGGCTTTCCTACAGCCCACATGTTGACTTTGCGATCCTCTCCTCCTGTCACCATGACACGTCCAGAAGTTGGGCCCAGAGACAAACATGACACATTTGACCCATGAGCTACAAACTCCTCTGTAGGTCAAAAGACATATGGATGATTTATCATAACAAGCAAAAAATATTGTTCTAAAAGTTAGTCTTGGAACAATATCCAATTTTAAAGAGATTATTAAAATATAGTATCTCATCTCACTCCACAAAAAGAAAAAAAGAATAAATCTGGCTCTAATTAGGATAAATGAATTAACCCCTTAACTCCCATGAGTGACCAAGACAAAGTTCTCCTCACAATATCAAAACAATATCAAGCAGACAAGTGACGAGAATAAAGGAAAATATTGATTATTAGATTCTTAGTTGATCCAATACCAAATTCTCCAAACTAACATCACAAGAACTGTATGGCAGACAGTAAAGAGAATTACTAGTGAGATCTTTGAAGTCAAAGGGCTAATAAGTGTGCTGAGAAAAAAAAACTGATAAAATATAGGTATAAAAATTCTCTTAATCTGGATTAATTCTGTAAATTATTTATTGCAACAAGCTTTCATAAATTTTCCTGGACTGTTTATCTTATAATTTAGGAGTCGATTAATATCTTGGTGTACTTTCAGGTTGGATATTTTAAAAAACCAAATTTTTTTTTAAAATTATAATCACTTATGCTCCAATATCAGGCAAGAGAACTTTTGTTCTTTCTCTACCTCTCCCTTTCCCTAATCCATACCAACTTCATATTTGAACCTAGCACTTATTGACACCATGATAGTGAAGCTCCATACATTTTGTGATTCAAGTTTTCCTTTGCTTCAAAGATATTGAGACCACCTTCACATTTCCCTTGCAACAAAATTTTAAAGGGTCTTGGACCAATGAATATCAAAATAAACTGACACAGAAATATTGAAACCAAAGAACATTTGATTCACAACTTAAACGTCATGGTTCAAAATAAATTTCAGATCCAAAAGACTTTGAATTAGTTTAATTTGTTTGCTCCCCTGTTTTAAGTAAAAAAAAAACAATATGTATTGCATGTTTTATATGTAATTTGACTGGAAAAATTTTATACTTCAATATACACAGGACAAGAATCTCCACATCACTGTGAATTTTCTTTTGTTGAGTTTTAGCTGTGTGACAATATTCTCAAGCTTGGCATGGAGGGATAACTTCCTAAATGGATTCTAAATTATGTTTATTGCTAGCAAAACAGTACCTTATCATGAAACCAATGAGCTTATTTGAAACCTGCCAACTGTTAATTAAATTATTAATGACATAGTTTCAGTCAGAGTAAACATCCCACTCTACACATATTCTGTGCATTTTATAATATAAAACACCCCTATGCCTAACAAGAAACACCTCTTGCTGAAATATAAAATCTTTGTTGGATTACAATCAATGAAACTTAATCATGAAGGGATCTGTTTTGTAACCAAAATATTTCTGTCTACAGTTTATAATTAGAAACAATGTCTCTTCAAAAGTTCCAACCCCCTGACGTCGTAGAATTCAGAAATCATTCAAGTACTCAGACACATGAACGCTCTAAGATAACATCAGTGAGAGTAATTTTCGACTTCTTTGAAAATAATTAGCTCAATTAATCAACCGCGTTTTAATAACAAACGTTAATGAGAAGTAAAACTTAGCCATGAAAAAAACCTCGATGATAGACATGCGGGAGGTGACAATCACCTCGATAATCCGTTTATAGCCGAACGTCAAACAACCTCGTTGGAACACTAAGCCTATTTCTCACAAAAATTCCGAACCCTTGACAAAGTAACATGAGACGTCAAACAAAGATGCTATAATCATGAAAATAGGAAAAAACCACGATTTTTCCAGAATGCAAAGAAATGGTTCTGTTTGTCACACATGTTGTTCTAGCGTTCGTTTACATTCTTAATTTACGAGTTGACTCGTGCTTGAATTGACATGACGTTACACATGGCCAGACGAAATTTTTGACGCAGGAGAATTCGATTTCATAACTTTAAAACGTTTGAATCGTACAGAAAAGTACATGACATAATTCCCAGTATCCTATTATTTTAATCGCATCTCAAACTCCATTTTTAAATTTTGTACCGGTGAACACCTATATGTACTTACGAAGTTTCCATGAGCGCTTCTGTTGTGCCGCCATAATTTTCAAACTTTCTTCAGAGCTTCCACGCGACAATTTCCGAAACCATAGCCCCCTTCCAACACTATCACATGTTAATTGAAGCAAATCCCTTATAAAAGTGATATTTTCTCCAAGGAAACTGTCGAAATATTACCGAAACACGGTTACACTTCCCTTGACAATTTCAACGAGAAAGTTCAAAATTTAGAGCCCGCGCTTGTAATATTCAGCGAGTTCAAACACAGGCATGCGTACGCCCACATTGCCTTGCGGTCGCTATAATCCCTACACAACCAAAACAAAACGACAGCTTGCACATCCCAGTAAAGTCTTGCTAGTTACGTAACATTGCTCGTATGTCTTGCCTTACGGAACTGAATTACTCTCTTACTTGAACTTCACCCAAGGAGGAACTGACAGCCAGATGTTTGTCCTGTTCAGGCGTGGATGTGCGTTCCGGAACCGTCAGTTTGCTGTATCACGTCATGTTGTGTCGTATGTCCAAGGTCAATCTCCTTCACCGAAAGTGCGAGAGTACTTTTATTACATTGACCATCAGGGGCAGGTATTACCAATTTTTTTCATGAAGCTGTTTTCTTTTTTTCATTTTCACTCTTAATTCAAGTCTTCCAACCATACCTCATGAAGATTACATCAGTGGAACACACTGCAGTCGAAAACTACAGACTCAGTTGTGTGACACTCATTAGAAAATAGTGTACTTCAGGTCACTGATCGAAGTTGAACGTTAATTAGTTGACTTGCATGCATATGAATTGGATTAGTTTTTGTATTTACATAGATTTCATTTATTTATGAGCTTAGATTTTGCTGAAATTTACAAAAAGATATGTCAGCTGTTTGAAGTCATTTCGTCTAAAACCTCTCCCCCATACAGTAAATATGACCGAAGAGGGGTGTGGTTGTGAAATTGATTGTCACTTTCATTCTTCAGCCAGTTCAGGTGTTATATGAACCAATGTTTCCTTGACTTACAGGTATAATAAAACCTTCATGAACTATGGTGAAATATACTAAAGATTTGTTGCTCTCTTTCAGTTGTTTCTTGATGACACAAAAGTGAAAAACTTTATCACCTGTTTTAAAGGTAACTATAGCAAGATCCAGTCTGTTTATTTTGTTTTGTTTTGTCTTCATTTCATTTTGTTATTTTTTTAAAGTCTGGTTGAAATTCAAGTTTCCATATTAACTTCTTTGTTTACTTAGTTCATTATGGATTGTTTCTTCTCAATTGACTCACTTTGAATTTGTTAATTTTCAGACAAGCAGTTTCTTAAATTTTTCTTCAAGAGACTAAAGCAAAACAAAACTTCAAGGTTTGAGGAAGACTTCCCATTCATTTCACCCTGCGGTCTTGAAATGAACTACATCCGTTGTGATGATGTGCCAGTTGTTTTTGCCACCATTATAGAAGATGCAGATGGTGGCAGTAGATCACCTGGACTTTTGACTTACAGTGGAATCGGAGAAACACTTACATTCCCATTTCAACCAGAAAAGGTCTGCATGCTTCCTGAGAGTGGAAGAATTTATCACCCAGGACCAGAGAAAGTTGGTGGTGTGGCACTTATTAAGTCAAGTCTTGCTATTGAACTAAGTCCCCACTTTGAATATCAAAAAGGAAACCAAGAAAATGATCCTCCAACACATTTCAACTGGAAAGGAATTTGCCATGAATTGGACAATTCAGTTTGGAACTATTTAAGGTCCGCTGAGGTGGAGGAACTTAGAAAAAGAAAATCACAGTGACAACTTAATTTAGATATGTGAAACAGCAAGTCCTGTCAACTGGCAAAACCTTTTTTTTTGTAATACAGTTACATTTCATTTGTGTTTAAGGCTACAAAAGAGCAGAATTGTGCTCTAATCTGTTGACCTTGTCATGGCACAGGCCTTTTGGCTATAACTGTGTAGTATTAAAAAAGAAAAAAAAAAAAAGAGGATTAATTATTTTTTTAGTTTAAAGCCGTAAAATAGACCCATGTTTATCTTCGGTGGTAGACATCCAACATTCCTGAAATGTCAGGTTGTGTTTACACTTCACAACAGGGTAATACAAAACTTACCTGAATGCAGATACTCTCAAGCTAACTAAAACCTAATGAGAGTAAAACACTCGCTAAGTAAAATGCCTTGTGAGTAAGTGGAATGAGTGTCACCTTGTGGTGTAGAACTTTTTTTTTATTTATTATTGTCTACACTTAGATCCTTAAGACAATGACATTGATGACAAAAACAATATTTTAATGAAGATAATCATAATAAATGTGGGTTTAATATTTTCATGAGAAGGAAAAACAGAAAAGTTGAATTATCGGACTCTTAAGTTGAAACCTCTGCAAAAGCAATGGCCATACACAAATTCATTTAATTTTATTCATAATTTCAGTATATTACAGAGATAAAAATTACAGTTTTTGTTATTTCTTAAATGATACGTTGCCATTAATGTCACAATGAAAAACTGATCATATAATTGCTTGCTGGGCCTGCTTGCTGGACCTTTTGATTTTCAAATGTGGCAGTTACTCATATTTCTTCTCCAAAGACTCAAAGTAAGACATTAAAAACTAAATTACTCCTTCCTGTGAACTAACCCTTGAATTTCCATTTTCCATTTATTAAATATAAGCCAGGAGTGGCCAGGAAAGAGAAATGGATTCAAAGTTACAATTTACAATAACTTTGTGCCTTGAGGGATTTTTGCAAATATGAAAAATATAAATATGACCTGTTCTTAGTCTGCACTTCTAGTTTAAAGAAAAGTTACTTCGTTGGGATGAAAAAGAGCACTTAAAAAAAAAAACAACAACCCTCATTTGAGCTCATGAACAGCAATGAGGGCTGCAGTCAGAGGTTCACTTCATTGTTTGCTTTTACTACCAGAAATTCACAGGCTCATTACTTGTGGTTTATCAAAAAAGGAACATCCTATCACTGGTCAAAGCTACCATAACCTGATACAAGAGATTCAGGCAACCTTATCCAACTTTTTTTGGAAGTCATGATAATCTTTACTTTGTGTTTGAATGTGATCTAAGTTTGTCATACCTGTGCTCACTAGCAAATTCACAACATTGAAACACAGTGGATGTCCAACATCAATGTCTAATCCACAAAAGATGGTTTTCTTTGAATGTCACTTAATCAACCTCAACTTTCATCTCCTTGTGACTAAATTTATAACTTTTAATTATTACTTACAATAATCATTGAATTATTCCCTTTGGACATGAAACACAATAAAACCAATCACCTACTGTCAAAATGACCTCTAGACATACACCCAGACCATTGACCACTAATGTGAAAGACTTCAAGTGAAAAGATAACCTCAATGCAAGAGATTTACTAGTAACAGCAGAGACTGGAAGTCACAAGACTTGCTTTGAACTATTTAAGTCAGTTTTCACTAAAAATAGCTGTGAAGAAAATGTTGATCTTTTTTAATCAAGTTGCAAGTATTTTTCCCAAGGCACTGTTAAGAGTTCAAATAATTCTATTCTTATACACTCTTTAATCCATCTTCTGTTTTTCCTATGAAAACCCAGAAACATAAAAAAAATCTGGAACTCCTGTACAGTGTGTGTTTGTCTGGTTATTTACATATTTCCATCTGGTAGACTACATCATTGTGCTAGCTCTCCTGCTTGCTAAAAATTTGATTGGAACCTTTCTTCATCCATGATAAACCAGACTTGTGTGCATTGGCTGTAGGAAGACTTTCTGGTTTACTCTGTTGAGATGTAAACAAGCAGTGGCAATAAACAAAAACTGTTACAATAAACACCCACAATAATCAACCTATGGTTTTTGGTTAAGACTGATTTGCTAAATGTACAATGTTTTGCATGCAAAATCAGCCAGACTGGCCAAACATTAGTTATAATTAATAATGTAAAATGGAGGAAAAACTTGCTACTCTACCTGAATATCAATAATTTGATTCTTTATCTCATCATGCTGGTCGGGGCTAAGTTCAACAAACCTGTTTGAACATAACATAAACACAAAAAAACCTTTTACATTTATTCAATGTCCATGTGATTTCCTAGTCTTGGAATATTCAGTCCTTATTAAATCATTCCAACATTGTTTACCCCCCTGACCTGACTGACCATATCACAGGCAGATCAACTGATTGATGGATCAACAGATTGATTGATTGACTATGTACAACTGATTTTATTGAAAACCAATGACCCATGCTCCCAATCAAATGCATGTTCCACTGGACACTATTGACCACATTAAAAACAATTTAAATTTACCACTAAAACTGTAGTTCTTCAAAAACTACTGTTGACTGGAATTTTATCCACCATTCAACAGTATCAAGTGAGTTTTTTCTGCTAAAGAAATTTAGAAAAATGTGACTTGACAGCCAAAATGATTTGGGTCACTATTGCCTTAGATTACATTTTGCCAACACTGAACCATACACATTGGTACATGTATAAAAGATAATAAGCTCCACCCACCTAATTGCATGAGGGTCATCTGCTAGAGGTAAATGAAGCTCATTAAGGCAAGCTCTCAGTGACATGTTAACTTTTTGTTTGAAATTATCTCTATCATTTTCATACCTGAGAGTGAAAAAAAAAAGACTTTTGCAAATGGCCTTCACAACTTATCATAATCTTCAACACAGTTAGAAATGTTGGGAAAAAATACTGCAAGAATTTGAAATCAAAGTTTTATCTTGCACACAGTAAGTTGTAAGTAAATACATAGAGAAGAAGAGGAGGACTGGTACTCACAAGTTGGCAGCTTCAGGATTAAGTGGATTCTTCAAATCAATTTTATAAAATATCCTTCTAGCATACAGCAACACTTGACACAAGTGATTTATGTTTCTCCTTAAAATAAAAAAAAATTAAAAAAAAAAAGGAAAGAGAAGAAGAAGAAAAATAAAAACAGTTTTTGGGACACTTTCACCTGATCAACTGATCACCTAAGTTGATACGTTGCAAACTGCAGTTCATAGACTGAAGGTGCATAATAATTAACTAGATCAGAACTATGTAGAAGTACTTAGCCAGAATTTTTCACATTTTCTATTTGTGAATCTTCACTATCCTTGCTCCCTTTTGGGTTCATTCCTGTCTCTTTGGTGTATCAAAGATTTTCTTTCAACGGACAACAATTTCCAAAAACACCCAACACCCTCCCCACCCCCCTCCCCCTCATCCAAAAAAAGATGCACTACCTCCACTTTGGAAAAGCTCGCTTAACATCTAATTCTCCAGTCTCCAAATTTACAACAGGATGAAAAACTGGGGGCTTGAATACAACACTCTGTGGAAAAAAATGTTTTACATTTTAATAAAGCACACAATTTTTGCAAATCAATTAAACAGCAAATTTTCAGTCCCCAACTACGCTCTGAGAAGAAAAGTTAGGTGCCTCAAGACTCCTGTCTCATAAATCTGAGGTTCTCAGCTCTCATAGACACAAACAGAACAGGGAAAAAAGACAGTCACCTGTGGCTTCTGTCCACTGCAAGAGCACAGCCCTTTGTTACATCTCCCCCCTCAAATTGAGCCCACAAACTCAATTTCTCAGTCCTTATTGTAAGTTATGGAGACTCATTTTTTTCCACTCAGCTTTATGCCCTTTATACTTTGCACATAAATCCAAGCAGAAAAAACTTAGTCCATAACTAACTGTACAGACAGAGAAAAAGTAGTTAGTGAGAGATAAATTATTCATTTCCAAGTCCCTGAAGAGCAGTAAAATGACTTTGCAGAGCATTTATTTTCCAACCATGCATCCCCACATGCCAGAAATAAGAGTGATTTCTTGGTCTGCAAGTAATTCAGCCTGTATAGTACTGTAGTCAGAAATGGTTAATAATCAATCTATGCCCGGAAGAAAAAGACTCTAAGGGAAACTTGTGGCCAAATGCCCCCAAAACAAACTAAATAAATTAAATGAACAGCTCTGTGGAATTATTTCATTTAATACATCACCAATTATTGCTAGAGTATTTAATGACTTGTTTTTGCTGTACGATGTTTGGATGGTTATTTACTTACAGGACAGTCTCCATCTGGGAAATTTTCTGGAATTTTCATGACAAACTTGAATATACCATCTTGGTAAGAGCCCATCCTGATAAAAATAACTCCAAACCATACTGAAAGAGTAGACATAAGAAACAGATAAGTTGCTGTAGGTTTCCAAGCAAGAAAGATGTTGTTTGTTTTATTACAAGCAAAGAACAAAAAAGACTGTGGTAAACCATGTTTTAAATGAAATAATAACAAATCCTTACTGAGAGGAGACTTAGCAGCTGGAAGGACATAAACACCTGGGAGTCTTTGACTTCTAAGCTGATTGCTGTGAAGAGGATGAGATAAGCCACTTGATTAATGCAAGGATCACAGATTTAAAACCAAAATAAATATTAAAAATGAGATACAACATGTGTTCCGTCACACTTTCATGGCTGATATAGTTGTCAGGTTTTCATTTGGACTTGAATGTTTTGAACACTATGAATGCACACAAATAATTTGAATTATTTCCAAAAGTTTTATGGTTCTTTTTTTTTCTTTGAAAAATAACTAGCCTAAGTATCCAAACATTCTACTCTGACTGAATTACTCAAAACATTATTAACACCTTTTTCAGAAACCTTTTGTCCTGTAATTGGAATGAAACTTCGTTTGAACCATCAAGAGTGTTGCCCAGCTGTGCAGAGACTTCACCATAGCCTCTCCTCATATTATATGCTTTGTGCTTCAATAAACCCTCCCCTATACGAATACCACTTATATCACATTACGGAGGGCCCAGTTGTGTAAAGGGCAGATAAGACTATTCAGTAAATGAGTGAAAGAAAAACATAACCATGCTATAGATTTATCTGGTGAATAGCATTATCCAACCTTTAAACAACCAGAGCCAGAATGATGAAAACACCATAAAAGTTCTAAAGGATATTAACTTTGCTTCTTAAGTTCTGCATTCCCATCGTAATGAATTTATGGTCAAACCATATCAGTGCAAATTGTAATTCACCAATTTTAACTGTAAGATCATAAAAGTTCATACGGTGCAAAGACCCCATGTTGCTACATTGAATGCTTATCGCTTGAACAGTCAAGCTTCATTTGTGATGGTCAAGAGCTAAATATAATGAGCGCCCAGACACCAATACATAAAGGGAATCTGAAGGAATTTGAATCTCTAGCTAAAGCAATTAGTGAAATATTTTATAAACATGTAAGTTAATAAGACTTACATTTGTCAGCTCCGTGTAAATTATTCACGGCGTCAAAACTCACGCATTGTACACACGATTATAATGCAATTAAAGTAATAGCGAAAACTTACTATTCCGCCATTAGCGTGTACTCGAGGAAATATGGCCCATACGCCTTCACCTGAGTAGGATTAGCTGTTGGTGATCTCTGCTTTGCAACCGATAAATTCATCGACTTTTCTTCCTCTGGAGATGGCACAGCCGGCAAAGACTTTCGCTTGTTTATTGGTGAATTGTCTTCTGCTAGTCCAGAAGTCTGCATCTCGTTCGTTTTCGAGCTACTTCTATCTTTTACCTTGTCGGTTTTATCATCGATTTCTCCCAGAAAGAGCTATTCAGAAGAGAATTAGGAAATGGAAATGGGATAAGTCTAGTAAGTCCCGAAATTGGAGCTTATCTGTGACAGTTAACACGACAACGTGAACATAATATGGTTTGACAACCATTCCTATCGTTTTAGAACGGATGTATTGTTACTTGTAACAGTTGTTCACGGGTCTGTGGTCAGTTAAATTACACTCGAAACAAGTTAAGGTTTCACTCTACTTACTCGTAACACGATCTACGTTAGGATGGCATGCGTGCAATGCTATCATAGTAAACAAAACTCTCTCGCAAATCTAAAAACTCTTAAGCTATATTTCAGCCGCTTTCGATAAAGCAATGTTACAGTTTTACCTTCTTCCTAAGCTGGTGAGTAACGTTTAACATCGTTCACCGATTCCTCGAAGCGTTCGAAAACATTCTCCTCAGGGTATCAACATAAAATTATACGATTCTTCAAACGTCTACTTGTCATTATGAATTATCATTCCATTTAAGAGATGCTTCTCTAGTTTCCGAATCACTCTTCAAAATCATGAATATTTATAACGATCTCGCGGCGGCCATGTTGAAATCCAAAGTCACGTGTTTTACAATTCTCGGCAACACTCGGAAACTCCCGTAATTAAACGGGAATTTTCAAAATGGCGGCTACTGGAATTGAAGAGGTTCTGCAGTCTCTGATGGACACTCTTGGACTTTGTGCCGAGAAAATAAAAGGTTCGCATGGAATTTTTACTTTGCAACATCCTAATTTTTTCGTGAAACTATTACGATGACGATCAGTCCTTCCATGCTGCTAGCTGTACAAGTGACTTGTCTAAAATCTATCTATCAGTTCAACTGTAGTTTTCTTATCAGAACTGGAATCTTATTTCTCCTCTTTGTGTTCAATACAGAGGGAAGCTTAGGACAAGTGATGGAGGACTTGGAGTTGAGTTTCTCTCTGGAAGAATTTTGGATGAAACTAGGTGATTTAGATTTTATTTTACAAAACAGAGGATGTTCCTATCATCATCATCATCATTTCTGTCATCAGTACAATCAGCTCATTATGTGTTGGATGTTGGATTGATCAAATAAATGAGGTCATTAAAATCTGTGGCCATCCACTAGTTTCAACTAAGGTGGTATTTTGACGAATATTTACACAAAAGGTCCTCAGCGTGGGTTTTATAATTATTGGTAAAGGATATAAGGAAACACATTGGGTATCTTCAGAGTGGGGGCTGTGCAAAAATTGGACTGCAACCCATGCATACATGATTATAGAACTGCTCTTCTGGTTTGTTAGGGTCGCATGACTGGCATGCACAGTGAATACTTGAGAAAATATCAATCGTGGATGCCCTTTCTTTCTCTGCAGTTTAGATTTCTGTGGCTGGGAGGGGTGTTCCCTCTTTCCCACCTTGTATTCCTGGGAGAGTCTTTAATGCTATTTTACGCTCTTTTCCTTCAGGCATGACCTTCAGGGCTGTTTCTAAAGAAGCAACTAAACTGACCATTTCCTTTTCAAAGCCTCCAGTACCATCAGTTGATGTGAGTCTATATCAAACAAGCTAGAAATGTTTTTTTTTTTAAGGTCTTGCTTAAGGATACTTTTAAATCATTTTTAGACCAGTTTATTGATCAAGCCAACTATTGTTAAAACTTGCCTCATTAAAATGCTCCCTTTTTCAGGAACTACAATGCCTCTTGACTGGATTTGAGACATCAGTTGTGGCCATGTTGACAATATTTCGTTCTTTACCAATATCCCAAGGTAAATTTTATAATATTGGTTAACACCTGAACTAGCAAGTTAATGAAACAATGGCCCATTACATCTAGAACTTTTGTCATATTCACTGTCATGAAGTGAATAGTAGTATCACTACTTCTCCTGCAAAGGATGAATGTCCATCAGATTGTCACCCTTAAGTGACTCATTTGCTTTGTCAAATAGTTTTTTGGCATTCAGTGACACTCTTAGTTGGAGTTAGACACTGTGATAGTTAAGTGTCCTGCCTAAGAACTTTAGTTTAAACAATAACCCAGTCATGATTCTGCCTCAGGCTTCTTAATTCAAACACAACTGTGCTGACAATCAGGCCCCAGTTGTTTGAAGGGTGGATAAGGCTATCCATTGGATAAATCTCTATCCATTGGATAGTGCAATACATTTTGTTTACATTTATCCACTGGATAGCAATTTATCTATTGGATTGAGTTATCTGCCCTTTGAACAACCCTGTCTGATACTGATACTGAGGACTACTTTTGTGGTTCATGAAGTGGATTAAGAGGTTTAACTGTCAAAATTCAAGTACAGAGTCTTACTACACTATTTTAGGGAAATATCTTCATAAGAAACTTCAGGAATCTGTTCTGACTGTGGTGGACGACTGTCAAATTCTTGCTGCTTCGTTTATCAAGGAAGGCTGTTCAAGGTGATGTAGCAAGTCTAGGTTCAGTTGTTCAAAGTACACATGACAATGTTCAAACAAAATTGCCATTCAGCAAGCAAATATTGACAAAACATTCATTCTGTTCTATCCACTGGATAGAGATTTATCAAGTGGATAGCGTTATCCACAATTTGAATACTGAGACCAAAAGTAAACTGTGAAGATTGGTTAAATTTGAATCAATGAGGAGGCCATATGCAAGATTTTCAATTAAGTTTAAATTAACACTTGTTTTGTTTGGCAGTGTTGCCAGTGCAAAGACAAAATCAACAGGAACTTTGTGGGAACATTGTGATGGTTTTCAACACCTTCCAGCAGGTAGGAAATTTAAAAAAAAAAAAATTAAAAAGCTTGTGGAAAGTCAGTAATTTACCAAAAGAGACACTGTGGGCTGTCTGCAAAACTGTCAGAACAACTGCCTTATCTGCTGTAGAGAAGACCACACATTGATCCACGAGCACTTTGAATTTTCAAGAGAGGGAACAAAATGGATTATTCTATCATCAGTTATGATTAGTCACTTAATGCTATTGATGCGCACTAAAGAACCCTTGTGGTGGAACTTTTTGCAGATGACAAACATGCAGTTTTACAAGTATTTCATTCAAGTTCAGAGTTGATCAAAGATGCCCTCACTGAGTTAAATGAGGTATTTACAAGTTTGATTTTATTGAATCTGCTTCGTTGTGATCAGTTCAATTTTATACAAACCTTAAAGAAAAAACAGAAAAATTTCCACTGCTTGTTGCAAATGACTTCAATCACATCTGTAGCCAAATTGAATTAATTTTACTTGGTAGGTTTTCCTCTGTTTTTAGGCTCAAAAATGTAATGGATGTCAAGAAAATGATTGTGATGAAGATGATAATGCAACAAACAAAGATGGTTGGTCAAGTGAAGATAAATTATTGGTTCCCCCTTGTATAGGGCTTGTCAAGGTATGCAATGCTGAATTACAAATGGATTTTTTTTGATAGATTGACTGACTGACTGACTGACTGATTGAGTGACTGGCAAATGAATGACTTACTCATTCATCCTCTCACTTACCAACCAACCTACTGAGTGACTGACTGACAAATGAATGACTTACTCATTCATCCTCTCACTTACCAACCAACCTACTGAGTGACTGACACACTAGCTGGTTGGCCAGCTGGCTTGCCAACTGACTATTTGCTGAGCTGATTGGCTGCTTAACTGACAAACTAACAGATGGTTTCAATCACATGACCGTTTTACAGGTTGACTCACCAACTGATGAGTGGTTACTCAGTGGACTGATTGATTGACTGAATGACTGTCTAATGTAGGTAAGCCTCTTCAATATCCATCTGTCCATTATCTTCTAACAAAAGTTTTGTTTATGTTTCAGGCGTGTAGGTCTTGTCTAAAGAAAATTTCTGGCGCTATTCAAACTTCAGGTCAAGTCACATCAGTGGAAAATATTCAGCAACTTGATTCAATGGCAGATGAAATCCAGAGAACTAGTTCAAGGTGAATGGACATTTAATGTTTAAGTGTACATGAACCAAATATTTTTTTTAGCATCAAGTAAATGGCTCCTTAGGTGAAAGTTACCACAAAGTAAAAAAATTTCCCTTTTTTTCAATGTGGCAAACAGTGAATTTTCTGCCTTGATGGGACACCAAAATCTCCACACTATTTTAAAGGGAAATATATGTTAGCTATAGGAAAGAATTACGTATTAGATCATAGAGATTAAATGGTAAATGTAAATAACTTTTTTTTCTTTGTGTCAGTGTTGACGATGTGGTCATGAGTCTTTACAGTCCTATGAATCATCACAATGTTTCCGAATCAGTAAGTCAATGTTTATGTAAAATCTCGACTTTCTCCTTTGTCCTGTTTCCGAGCCTTGTGGCCTGTTGATCAGTTACTAATGTATGTACTTCATGCAATTACAGGCCTCTAAGCTGTCCCACCAGTTGAAAGAGATACTGAACAAAGCTAGGTAAGGAGTAAACTTGATAACGGTGTTTCTGGATTAATTGGTCAAAACAACATTTTCAACTCGGGCAAGAATCGATGATGTTCATATCGCTGACTTTTACTTTCGTATATTATTTTTGTTCAGGGATTCTCATTTTACGCTGGACTCAGACTCTTCTTGGCTCGACTTTCTAACCAAGGCAATAGACCATAATATGAACAAGATTACAAGTGTTCTCCACGAGCTAGAAGAGACGAATACATGATCTTCAAGAACTTCCAGCAAAATGTAACCAAGACATGTTAACTAACGGACATGGTTCAAATCAGCAGAGGAGCTTATGAATACGTTGCTAGTCAAGTCGCAAAAATAATGAATCACAAGAACTCAAAATCTTGAGTTTGAATCTATTAACTTGGAATTTGTCATGAAACCGAAAAAAAAGTACTTTTTGTTTAATTAATCTGCATTTTTATGGCGCCTCACCCTCATTTATGTAGGTAATACTCAGCGATTTGTCCAGCAAATTCGCCCACTCCCTCAACCAATCAGATTCAAGACTAAAACTAGTTGCAGCTTGGTAACTCGCGTTTTCCCGCGCTTTAGACAGTTTGCTTGAATTATTGGCTCCTTAGGGCCTATTTACACGGTACGACTTTGTCGCATGCGAAAAGCTTACGAAAGGCTTACGACACGAATTGTTTCGTGTAAATCAAACCTACAACTCGCTTACGACTCTTAAGTCATGTCGTAGGCCTGTCGTAAGCTTGTCGCATGCGACAAAGTCGTGCCGTGTAAATAGGCCTTAAGGATGTACTCCTCTTTCTAATTGGTCATTGCGATTGCTTCGGCGTTGGCTTTACGACACTCAGTCGAAATGTGCTTTATTCTAAACAGCTCACACGAACGCAACGTAGGAGAAAAATAGCATGTGTAATTTCCTTTTAACAGCCGTTTGAAATCCAGAGAGGTGCAACAGTTTGCTCAGTTTCGTTCATTGCGCGGACACTGATTCCCAGAAGGACTTGTAGTCTAACGCCCAGAAATGAGCTGCGTGGAGGGTGTGCAAGTCATTTTAACATCACAGTGAAATTTCCCTGAAATAGCTAAAAATATTGAAGTAACTGTATGCCAAAGTAGGAAAATATCCAAGACGTTGGAATTTAATAAATATGAACAAGGAGATGAAGATTGATTAACACGGATTGTGAATAAAAGACTTGGAGATATTTTGGCTGTATCTTCGAAGAGAAAAACAGACCCTGGCCTGCTTTTTTTTATCCTTAATACATTGCAGAGAGGTGATTTCATCCCTCTGTATAGTCTGCTATCTTCTGTTGTGTATGCGTTTCATGCAAACCAATTGAATCAAAACTTGACCGATAAAGAGGTCAGCGGTGCATGACATTGATACTTAATGTGTGTCGGCGGAAGGCTAACCTGACACAGCGGTAACTCCCTGGATTAACCCTTGACACCCTAAAATCAGTATTTATATTCTCCATACTGCCTTTCATACATCTCCTAAGGTGCTGAAAAGGAGAACTTGGTTTCCAATCAAAATATTCTTTCGTTGGTGATCGTTTCCTTTATTCTCATGACTTTAATGTGTGATTCAGGGGTGATAGTGTGGGGAGAAATTTGATGCTAGTCCCCCTTAGGGTTTAAAGGGTTAACGAGGTTTCCAATTCGATTCACCATCGATTTACAAGGCCCATCTGTGGCAGATGCCCTTAATTTTTTTTCAAAATATTTGCCGACTTTATCAAACCTTTGTGTGCAAATTTTTTTGCATTTCCTATGTTCGTGTGGTAGATTTTGTCCTCAAACTGATCAGATCCAAAGGAAAATCGCGTTGATTTTGAAAATGACTTTTTGTCAACTTGAAAGTCATTCTCTGCCAAGTATGATGAAACCCGAATGACCATGTGATTTCTTTATTTCTGATTATTCTGAAGAGAAGAGCTGAAAAATGCTAAATGGTCGGTGGAAATTTTCTAGTGAGAATAAAAAAGCACATGCGCAGTTACAGATAGGAGGGATTTCATGATTATGCAGAAGAAGTAAACGTTGAAAAACTCAGCTTTAATCTCGGATTCAGTAGAGTGAGGGTCAAACTTGCTCCACTGGATTATCATAACCTTACTTGAAGAAGTTAAAAGATGTTGACCAAAAAGATTATCAAAAGGCGTTTGCCTGCGCTCAACCCTTGAACCCTCAGTGGTGTCTTACATCCAATTTCTCGTTTCAGTTTCACTACCAAATCACGCATTAAGATCATGACATTAAAGGAAATCATCACTAATTCAAATAACTAGCTCTTGATAGTTTTCAAATTCTCCTTTAGGACATCCAAGGATGCAAAAATTGAAATTATTGCCAAGTTGTACAGTTAAGGAGTCGGAATTTTTCTTTTCGGAATTCTTTGTACGGGCGCACGTTTCAAATGAAATTTTTCAGAATGTTAACTAAAAGAGTAACTTGCATCTAATAAGTCATTCCACTGATTTCCCATGGAAATATTAGTTTCTGTATGAATTGAGCAGTCGTTTAAGAATGTTCATTTGGCGAGAAAATATTCCCGTAGATTTGTGCACAGTATTTATCTGTTCCGAGAGACGACAAATTTCTCGACAACGTAGCTCAAGGAAAGCTTTGAGGTTTTTGAAACGTACAGACAATGCCTAAAGAAGAATGTTATTGGTTATTCCCCAGTTTTACTTGAGACATTTTAAAGCGCGTTTGAACCTCTCGCGCGCGAGCGGAGTATTTGATCGATTTTAAAGCACTAACTCAGTCAGCAATTTTCCCTCGGTTTTTCAAGCTATTATTGATGAACTACCCCAACTAGTAACTTCATAAAAGGAACTTGTAGAAGAAAAAAAAACTATACCCTCTCGAAAAGTGTGCTAATTACCAGTCGTAGTTCAGCCCGCGCTCGAGATAATCTATTCGAGTTGATCATGAGATAAGTTTCGAACTGCTGATTAATAATCCCGCCAGTGCGTGGACTTTGAACATGAAATTGATGATATATTTACTAATTACTAAAAACCAATAGGGAGATAATAGAGACATTAAATGCAAGCTTAACATGCGCACTACTAAGCGATATAAATTTTATTCACTTATGACCACATGGAAGACCATTAAATGGATAACAAACCCTCTTTCCTCACAATCGTTAGTCAGCTTTGCGCAGTGGCATTACCGTAGCCAATGAGGATTATCCGAGGCGCGGTTATTGCTGATTGAAAACTTTTCCCAATACCCCGCAAGACGACTTGAAATACAGTCGGCTTTGCAATTTTTGACGGTCCATACAAGGACCCCAACAAAAATTAAGAAAAATTTAAACGAAAGTTTAATGCGATAGCGCTGTCCAATTGCCGGCGTTTTTTTCAATTTCTCAAGTCGGAGTATCTGCTGTTCAGTACGTAAGGTTTTTCAAGGTATCGTGTTGTAAATCGTCTTGCACGGTAATGCTGTATTTGTCAGAAAGGTTTGTAGGACAAGAAAAGGGTGCCAAAAATTAGACAACCGTTTTAGGGCTGAATATCTTCAGTTTTATATTTTTATTTTTGTCAGGTTCATCTACATAGATGAATCAATTCTTTAAATAACTTATTTAACGTGCAGGACTATTTACAAGTAACAGTAATTTCTGTAATATTTGCAGAGATATCTGTTTTGGGTCGCTCGTGCTAATTGCTTTTGTTTTCTAGTTTCTTCGTCTGTAATGCTGAAATGAAAATTGTCTCTAATGCTGAATACAGTTAAACCTAATGACTAATTGTACCTAATTCGTTCTGTTGTGATTAGAATGTTCATTTGGCGAGAAAATATGCCCGTAGATTTGTGCACAGTATTTACATGTTCCGGGAGACGACAAATTTCTCGACAACGTAGCTCAAGGAAGGCTTTGAGGTTTTTGAAACGTACAGACAATGCCTAAAGAAGAATGTTATTGGTTATTCCCCAGTTTTACTTGAGACATTTTAAAGCGCGTTTGAACCTCTCGCGCGCGAGCGGAGTATTTGATCGATTTTAAAGCACTAACTCAGTCAGCAATTTTCCCTCGGTTTTTCAAGCCATTATTGATGAACCACCCCAAATATTAACTTCATAAAAGGAACTTTTAGATGAAAATAAAACTGTACCCTCTCGAAAAGTGTGCTAATTACCAGTCGTAGTTCAGCCCGCGCTCGAGAAAATCTATTCGAGTTGATCATGAGATAAGTTTCGAACTGCTGATTAATAACCCCGCCGGTGCGTGGACTTTGAACATAAAACTGATGATATATTTACTAATTACTAAAAACCAATAGGGAGATAATAGAGACATTAAATGCAAGCTTAACATGCGCACTACAAAGCGATATAAATTTTATTCACTCATGACCACATGGAAGACCATTAATTGGATAACAAACCCTCTTTCCTCACAATCGTTAGTCAGCTTTGCGCAGTGGCATTACCGTAGCCAATGAGGATTATCCGAGGCGCGGTTATTGCTGATTGAAAACTTTTCCCAATACCCCGCAAGACGACTTGAAATACAGTCGGCTTTGCAATTTTTGACGGTCCATACAAGGACCCCAACAAAAATTAAGAAAAATTTAAACGAAAGTTTAACGGATAGCGCTGTCCAATCGCCGGCGTTTTTTTCCCTTCTCAAGTCGGATTATCTGCTGTTCAGTACGTAAGCTTTTCAAGGTATTGTGTTGTAAATCGTTTTGCACGGTAGCGTTGTATTTGTAAGAAAGGTTTTTAGGACAAGAAAAGGGTGCCAAAAATTGGCCAACCATTTTAAGGCTGAATATCTTCAGTTTTATATTTTTATTTTTGCCAGGTTCATCTACATAGATGAATCAATTCTTTAAATAACTTAGTTAACGTGTAGGACTATTTACAAGTAACAGTAATTTCTGTAATATTTGCAGAGATATCTATTTTTGGGCCGCTCGTGCTAAATGCTTTTGTTTTCTAGTTTCTTCGTCTGTAATGCTGAAATGAAAATTGTCTCTAATGCTGAATACAATTAAACCTAATGACTAATTGTACCTAATTCGTTTTGTTGTGATTACATTTTTAAATGACCATTAAATTTTTTAATTTTTTGGTTTGTTTTAACATGTTGTGCAGCTTTATAGCACAATAAATCTTTTTGACTAAGATGTCAATGAAAACAGCAAGGATCGAAATTAAATGTAGCTCAGTCAGAGCCGTCATTAACCAATTACTGAAGAGAATCGCGATTTGAGTATAAATCTCTTTTGGAATGGGTGTCGTAAAATCAACTTGACCAAGGTAATTACAACAACCAATCAGAAGAAAGGAAATACCTGAAGAGCCAATGAAAACTCTAAGTATAGAGAAGTAAACTACCTAAAGCGCGGGAATACGCATCTCATTGGTTGAGAGAGTGACGCGAGTTTTCTGGACCAATCACAGAGCGAAGTAAAGCAAAACAAAAGCAGTCCCGGAGAGAGACATTAATGCAAGCTTGGCATGCGCACTACAATGCAACTCAGTGTAAATTGTATTCACCTATGACCACATGGAAGACAACTGAATGTCTGACAAACCCTCTTTCCTCACCTTTGCCTATTAGCTTTGCGCAGTGGCATTACCGTAGCTAATGAGGTTTATCCGAGGCGCGGTTATTGCTGATTGAAAACTTTTCCCAATACCCCGCAAGATGACTTGAAATACAGTCGGTTTTGCAATTTTTGACGGTCCATAAGTGGACCATAACATGAATAAAGAACAGTTAAGCGCTATCTAACCACTGGCGACCTTCATTTTCCTTAAGTCAGGCTCTTCACTGCTCAAAACGTAGATTCTTAGAGGTCTCCCAGTAACACTATTTCTCACAAATATTTGTTATAAAGAAAAAAGGTTGTAATTAACTAACTTTGTAACCAAGAGACTGCTCACAGGACTCGTCTTACCCCAGTCAGCGGAGACAGCATCTTGATCGTTTCCATTTAACCCTTTACATCCTGATAATATATAAATTTAGTCAAGCCTAAAAGCGGAGCTCGCATTTTTTTTTTCCCGCACGTCTCTTCAACAAAACTAAAGCCCCTACTATGGATAAAGTGCGTGGTAATATTAATGGATTTTCATTCGCAACTTCTCCGTGTCCGTGTAGAGGACTGATTATAAGATAGTGTCCTTGGTACAGTTGGCCGCGCATGCTAAAAGTAGCACCATGTACGGTTGGTCGTACGGTCGTGCGGTCGTACGTCCAAATTTTTTCGGCTTGATGGGTTACTACTATTTTGTATAATCATGGGGCTACGCGAGCTCCACTATTAATATGCATACTCTCCATACTGTTTTCTACACATTTTTTGAGGTGCTGACAAGGAGAATTTGTTCAACAATCAAGTTCTTCTTAAGTTGGTGATCATTCCCCTTATTCTCGTGACCTTAACGTTTGATTCAGGGGTGATATCCGAGAGCCTTGCACGTGATATAACTGAGACCAGGAATCCGAGAGAATATTAAACGATCTGCCAGACTTAGACTCCATGAAAAGTTAAGAAAGTCTTAGGTATAAGTTATGTATCCCTTTGTACCCTGTCAACTCCTTAGGCACTGAGAGAACAGTATGGAAATATGCATACTAATATTAGCGTGTCAAAGGTTAAACCTCATTAGTTCATTTAAATGGAGGGGAAAAGTAGGAATTTAAAATGCTCATCCCAATAGACATTAGATGGGGATGGTTTGGGTAGGAGTTAGGATGTAGCACTGCCACTAGCTATAAAGCTTTCAAAATATGAAAGATGCCAGATTACAGAGATAATAGCTTAGAGTAGTTAAGTAATGTTTCTAAGAAAAGATCAGTTTCCTTCTGGGTAAAGTAGATTTATTAAAGATAGAGGGACACAAAGGTATAAAAAGACATACACTGATGCAAAACTGATCAACAGTAAGCCCAAACATTGCCATTTCTTGCCCAAAATACATTTGATACAATTATAGAATTGCAGAGTTCATCATAACAGTGTCAACGACATATCATATCAATAAATAAATCATGGAAATAAATATACTCATCATAATAATATTGAAAAAATTGATCAATTAATTTATCAGTATTGGTTTATGAAGTGTGTTCACATGGTTTTGGATGCCATTCTCATATGTGCAAGTCCTAGATAGTTAAAATCTTAACCCAGTTATTAAGACCTAGATAAAAAATATCATGATCTTTTTAATTGGCTACCCTTTAACCTGATTCTCAGATTATGAAAAGTGCTTTGCGTTGGAGGATTTGAGAAAGAAACTTCAGATAGTCTAAGAATCAGGCTTGGGTAAGGCCCCCATCTCTCATGAACCAAAAGACCAAAAAGCGATTTCTCCTAAAAATGTCAATATAAATGGAAATATAAATCTTCTCTGGGGATACAGTTTGATTTACCAGCATACTCTCAGAGCTTAAATTATGAGAGATATACCACAGATTGTGGAAAAAATTAACATTTTGCAACAAGCAAGTGAAAGGACTAACTAAGGAGTGGAAATAAATAGTTCTGGTATTAAGATTTTAAAGTTTCACAATGATGTTGTGGAACATGATCCAAAATTGATAAATCTCATATCAATGGTAATATCCTTTAGGTCAGGTCCATGCATTTAATAAATAGATTCCAAGTTACTGTGAGCCTGTTCAGTAATAGACCACAGATAATGTCAAAATGTGGTAAGAAAAAAGAAAGAGGAACATGAGGCCCAGCCAAGTGTGTCACTGATGTCAAAATGACCACATTTGACATCATCTGTGCCGTATTTTTCTTAACAGACCCACGGTAGCATGGAATCTACTTGTTTTATATAATGAAGAAGCAATAATTTATTAATGCTGACATCACCAGTGTGTCTGCTGTCCTCCAAAATATTGTAAGAATCATTCAAAATGTGTGTGATGCAGGTTATTATATAATGTGCATTGAGTTGAAAGCTCTTTTTTTTCTATAAGCTTGAGCAGAAACTTGTTTCCTATTTCTTTACTTTCTATCATGTTCGTTTGGCCAACCAGTCAGATTTCAGAAATATCTTGACTTAGTAATGTTTAGTGACGCTGACAAAGAGCACTGCTCCTGTGGGGTTAATTGTACCTAGTCTCACATATCCATAAAAAAAATACATATAGATTGACACACAATAGCACACTAGCCATTTCACTGAATAGACCTCTTTAGCTTCTATGGTTTGTTTACCCATTTCAGGTCTGAAGGGAATTCCCAGCTTTATCTTTTGTAAATTATGCATACATCTGCAAGTAAATGAGAGGAAATTTGAAAGAAACAGTACTTTAGATTATTATCACATGACCTGAAATGGGTAAACAAAACATACAAACTTAGAGGACTATTAGATCTCGTGGTCCTCTAAACCAACAAGCTCCATGCTAATATCCCATAATTTTCTTGCAGCTTCATCATCCTGTGCACCTGTGGAGGGGTCTCTAAAGGCACAGTCTGCCAAGTATTTACCACTAACTCCTTCCATTTCCTCTGACACCGCACAGTGAATAGTAGTCTGGGCTCCCTGTTCTGCAGTCTTGAAAAAATACCAGCGGAGTGGAAAAAATACTAAACCGGAAATAAAAGAGTGACGTTGGATGTCTGTGTTTACCAACCCTGGGTGGAGTGCATTCACAGTCACGTTTGTGTCCTCGAGATGCACACTTAGCTCCCTTGTGAAGAGTATGTTAGCGAGCTTACTTTGTTGATACGCTGCAAAGGGATCGTAATCCTTCTCTGCATTGATATCATCAAAGTTTATAACACCAGTACCGAACCTATGAGCCAAAGAAGACACATTTATGATTCGGCTCGGACCCGATTTTTTCATTAAATCAAGGAGAAGCAAAGTTAAGAGAAAATGCCCTATGTGGTTCACTCCAAACTGCATTTCCAAGCCATCTTCAGTCATTTGGTAAGGGCATCCCATCACTCCAGCGTTGTTTATCAGAATGTCTAAGCGCGGCTCGTTTTTCAGAATTCCATGAGCAAACTGTCTCACAGAAGCTAAAGATGAAAGGTCCAGTTTCTCGACGAAGACTTTTTCGTTTCCACTTCGCGTTTGGATCTCTTGCACTGCCGCCTGGCCTTTCTCTAAGTTGCGGCAACCGATGATTACTTTCGCACCACGTGTTGCCAGGTCCACCGCCGTTTCTTTGCCGATACCGGTATTTCCGCCTGTTATAACCACAGTTTTGCCTTTGATGTGTCTATTGCTCTGGCAGCGAGGTCCTTGAATGTATGTTCTACCTCCATAGAGAACTGCGATCACCGCAATGACTGCGCTTATTACCACCGAGCGTGCCGCCATCTTGTTTACTGTAATCTCATTACAAGGTCACGCTTCCTCAAGGGAAGAGGAAGGCAGCGTGACGATTCTTTAGTTAATTTCGGGAACGGAACGAGATTATTGGCTTAGGGTTCTTGGAATAAACCGAGAGAGATATATTATTTGCGAGGATGTTCAGAATCTTTAAAATTTTTTGAGCATTGTAAATTTTTGCTGGACCTGTAACATTCAATAACCCAACAACAGAAGATAAGATTGTTGCATGGTAACAAGTTCGAACATGAATGATACATTAGTTCGTGAGCCAACTGACTGAAAAAAATTACCCATTTTAGAGCTGTGAATATCGAGTCTATTCACAGACTTTTTCTTTCCTCTATGGATCTCCTAGGACACGATCGAACTGGGAGCTGTGGGATTTTAAAAAACGCGGACACTTGGCGCTTCCTTCTCCTCCTCCATTAGGAAAAAATTCACCAAAGAACCAAAACGAGCCAAAAAAGAAAAAGGCAAAAACAAAAGGGTTATAGAGAGAAAATTGACATGCAGTATGTTAATCTTATTCTTAGTTCAAAAATCTTTTTTGAAAAAAAATCTGAGTTCGAAAATCAAATTAATCTGATCAAATATGCTCCTATGACTGAAATTCAAACAATTTTAAACCCCCCCCCCCCCTCATTCATTTAACGAAGAAAATTCGGGTAAATTTGAAAATCACAAATTTGGATAGCGGAATAAAGATTTTGTCAGTGGAAAGTTGATCGCATTTTTACGCGAAAGAAATTAGGGAATTAAGTATATGAGTGCTATGATCTATCGTCTATTTAATGGAGATCCTTTCCGCAGCGTCAGTACGTCTGTACCGGTCAGACAAGATCGGGCGTTACGGAAACGAGGAAGTTTTAAAAGATCTCGAGAACTAAACATTGCTCTAATTCAGAATTCAAAAGAAAGACATATTTGAAAAGGTAACCTTAAGAGAATGCCCTTTCTGTAAATTTTTTTGGGAGTCTAAAAAAGATTTAAAATACAATTTCGAACAATTTCCAGAGGTCTCGTTCCAGGTTTCAGTTCCACTTCCACTTCCAATTTTTCCTTTTGCATTTCCTCGTTTGGCCGCTAAGCCGCGATTAAATATGGCGGCCAGTGATGCATGTTCAATGAGAAGGGATGATGACGATCATCGTTTTCTCTCCGTGCCTCCATACGTTACTATGGAAGCGATGAACTGACGATGAAATGCTTTGCTTTTTTTCCCAAAAGACGGAAACGAAAGGAAGTAATAAGCTGAGCTCATGCAGAATGAGCTGAGTTCGAGGTTGAGGACATTCAATGATAATTCCAAGACAAATTTTATGTTATTATGATGAGTAAGGTAATCTTTTCCCTGTAGACATAGTAATCTTAGATTCAAGGTTAATTTCACTGAGAGCATGCAAGGCTCTGTAGATGTGTCAACGGTTTTTAACTTCGAGCACACTTTTTAGTAAGAAAGAAGCTAATTATCGATCACGAAAATGACGTGCACAAACAACGAGGTTTTTCCATCATCACACTCTTAAGTTTCATCTCTCTTGAAGGACTATTTCTTTTCTTTTAAGGATAGGTCTGAAAATTTTAAAGTTTTTGAAAATCCTAGAAGGTCACAGCTGTGTGCTTTCGCATGATGTTTAAACAGCTGTATCGTAAGGTTATTGTCTGAGAATTTCACCCACTCATTTCATGACAACACGAGCCATTGTTCATATTTTATAACAGTACGCATATAAAATTTTCTTTTGCTTTTATGTATGGTAGTTACTCGAAAAGGCTACTCGTATAGAGCCGCTGCGTTTCCGTATCTCATCTCTTTAACTTCGCTGATTTAAGGTATTCTAGAAATCTAACTTTTCATTGGTTCAACAGTCATTGGCTCATGACCTTGCTGTATTACTGTTGTTACAAAATTAATTACCTCAGTGTACTTGCTGTTCCTTTAGTGGTTTTCAAATTGATTCCACGCGGTAGTGAAGAACCAAAACACAAGTCAAGGTTGACTGTATTCCAATTTACATGGTGGTCGACTATACCAGACTTTTCCTTGACATTTTTTTTCCTATCAGATGGCATTCTTAAAGCTGTTTATTCTTCTGGCCTTGCCATATACCTGTGTATCAAAGAGAGGATTGAGGTATACCAACACTTGGGCAGTAAAGATTGATGGAGATATTAAAACTGTAAAGAATATTGCTCAAAGGAATGGATTTAATTATAAAATGAAGGTATTTTTTTACAGTCCTAAAACTACAGGGTGATATGATTTACACATCAGGGCTCAGTTGTTCAAAGGCCAATTGGCACTAACCCAAGGTTAAATTTTAATCTGCATTTATGTATTCCTTTGTTCAAAAGTCTTTTTGGAATGATTTCTTTATTCTTTTTTAAGAGTATCCAATGATCAAATTGTAGATGAAAAGATTCATACTAAACTTTCTTTTACAGCTCTTAGATCCAATAGCAGATTTCACACTAAGCCCAGGTTATCTTAGCCAGGCTTTGAACAACACGACTAGAAAAATTACTAAAAAGTCAAACAGTAAATTTAAAAAAAAATTGAAACAGTGATTGTAATTATTACAATTAATACCATTGACTTGGTTCTCTGATATACTGTCCTCCTTTTTTTGCCTGATTTCCAGCTTTATTCCAATTACCATCTTTTTGAGCACAAGGATCTTCCAAAGGTTTCCTCACATCCAAATCACATTCACACAGATGGTCTGAGCCAAGAACCAATGGTGGGCATATTAATTTCTACTTTTTCCAGAATTTTTGGCTGCATGTCTTAAAATTAGATGCTACAGAGAAAAATGTTATTTGTGCTTCAAGTTCAAAGGGCAAATTGAACATAATCAGAAAAAAATATGTGTAGCACTCTGTTCATGAAGACAAAATAAAAAAAACCATGTTAGGAAAGAAATGGCCTAGTGGAATTAGATAGAAGTCAGTTTTATTAAATGATAACGATAATGTTCACAGTATTAGTAGTATAAAAATGATGATATACAATTCTAATGATAATCTTAACACTTGAACTCCCAGATCAAATTTTTACTTCTCCTCACTGTCAGCCATACAATTCTTATAATGTTAGTTCAGAGAATTTAGTATTGGATCAAGTAATTATCCCCAAATTAACATTTTCATTATTCTCATTACTCATCTGGTTGATATTGTATTGGTATTGTAAAGAGAAATTCTGTCTTGGTCACTCATGGGAATTAAAGAGTTAATTTTATTGTTAATAATGATAACTGTGTATTGTGTTTGAAGCTGAAGGTAGTCAGTGTTCTGACACACTGATTATAAACACCACAATTGTAATAGTAAAAGAAAAGGAAAAGAGGTAAAGAAGTTGTGAAGGTCAATAAACTTATGTATCAATGTGTCCAAGAGTTTGATATCCATTATACAATGACTCCTTAAGAAATATGCTATAAGTTGTAATCACCATTCTAGTTTGAAACATTATTTTTGATTCCAAGTTTCATGTCTCTTTAATCATAATGAAAAATTACATCGGTGGTTAAAAAATTAAGAAATATTAATTTTGTAATTAATCACTGTGTCCAAATGTCCATTCTTACTTGATTGCATCTCATGGGTGTAGGTGAAGTGGTTTGCCCAACAAATAAGGCAGAAAAAGGCTCTCTATGATCAAGCAATGTCTCTGTCCTTTAATGATCCAAGGTGGAGGGACCAGATGTGGTATCTGGTGAGTATAAAGCGATAAGAACTTCACATACCATTACAAATTTATTCATATATATTTTGTTACTTTGAGGGATAACAGCTATTTGTTAGGAAATGTTCTATTAACTTTACTATTTTTCATTTTTCAAAATTTAGATGTATACCTGTGGTGTTTTTTGTCTTTTACTGGCCAGAAAAAAAAAAGCATTTGGTTTTGAACTTATCACTGGATTGCTAAAACATTAATGTATATAATACTCTTAATAACAATTAATAAGTAATGCTTCTTATAAAAAAATATTAGTATCATGACAATTATTATTGTTTTAAACAACTCACAATTTTAACAGAATCCTCCTGATGGCAGAGGAATGAATATTGACAAAGTGTGGCAACAGGGTGTAACTGGAAAAGGGATTGTTGTTGCAGTTGTTGATGATGGCCTACAACAGTCTCATCCTGACCTTAAAGATAATTTTGTAAGTCTTGGTTTTCTTGATGGAAGAATGTCTTTTGTTTGATGTGCATTGGATAGCTTTTTTTAAGATAACTGTTATGACAAAAAGTGCTGTACTATATATGGGATTAGCTTGTTTCAGGTTACAAAATATTTATTGTTACTGAAGTACTTTTCTTCAGATTATGGTAGGAATATTATTTAATTGTTTGTTCTTAAGAAAAAACAAAACAAAACAAAAAAAACAAAAAAAACTTCCAGACAGGGTTTAAGTAATTTTCAGCTTTTGGTTGATGTTTTACTTGAAGTCAAGTTTTACAGTGTTATTTTGCCTTTATTATGGTCTTTGTTGTTAAATATTTGCATGATGTTTACACATTTTATATAATAATTAATAATTTCATTATTCACAATCTTTTTTCAGGATCCTTTAGCAAGTTTAGATCTGGTTGATTTTGATGAAACACCTGATCCAGAGGGGAAATTTTCAGGGTATAGTTGGTTTTGATGAACTTAAGTTTGTCATTTTGTCAGAGGTTTGGGAAAGGTGTTTATTTAAGTGAAGTGCTGATCAGAAATATTCTCTCATAGGCATGGTAACCGCTGTGCTGGAGTGATTGCAGCTTCTGCTAACAATACTGAATGTGGTGTAGGAGTTGCCTTTGACGTCAGCCTTGGAGGTAGCTATGTAATTAATTATTTAATTGTTAACCCTTTAAATCCCAGATGTGACTAACATGTACCTTCTCCCTATGATATATATACGTTTTCTAGCAAACGGTTAATGAGAATACTAAAACTTATCAGAAGAAGTTATCTTGATCTTATACCAAATTCTCACCACTAATTTACAAGGAATTGTGTAGCAGCAAGAGGAGAGAATTAACAATCAGATCTTGGGAGTTAGAGGGTTAAAGCACGCAGAGCAATGTTCAATTGAGTATCAAGAGTAATCCGGGATTGTATGGATTTTGCTTTACTTCGCTCTGTGATTGGTCCAGAAAACTTACGCCACTCTCCCAATCAATCGGATGGAAAACTAAAACTAAACCAATCGCGACTTGGTCGCCCGCGTTTCCCCGCACTTTAGGTAGTCTGGTTGTTTTTACTCTGAGTTCTCGTGGGCTCTAAAGAGTATTTTTCTTTTCCTGATTTGCCGTTGTAATCAGGTTTGGTTTTTACAGCTCTCAATCAAAAAGCACTTCAATCTTGTGTTTTTGCAACGTAACGTATCTACTGAGTTGATGTATTTTTAAGTGCAGCGACTCGAAGTGAATTCATAGTTGCTTTAACAAATATTTCAGTCGATGTATTTTCACATCTTTGCAGGTATTCGTATTTTTGGAGAAGAAGACGATGATCCAACAGATTCCATGGAAGCACTAGCTTTAGGATACAAGCGGGACTACATAGATATCTATTCATGCAGTTGGGGTCCAGAAGATACCGGGTGGGACATGGAGGGCCCTGGCGAACTTGCAAGAGGCCAACTGGAGGAAGGGACCAAAATAGTGAGTATCTGAGGGATCTCCCTCAGTCTCTCCAAGAAACGAAGGCGAAGGATGCTCCACTGACCTTTAGTTAATTCCGCGAAAAAGTATTTTTCTAGTGGCTAATAGCTTGTCGCAATATTACATTTGCGTTCCACTGCAGCCCTGCGAGTCACTATCACTTGATCTTTTAAATCACGGTTAACAGTGCACTTTTCATTCATCATTTATATCATAGTTTCGTATTTTGAGGGCGTTTCATCGTTCATAACAAGCTTTTTTAAAACAGTTTACTATTAATATATTTTTATTGCTATGTACATTTAAAATTTTTATAAAATATACTAGTGTCTTGTCACTCCTTATGGCTAGGGTCGACATGGCAAGGGATCAATCTTTGTCTTTGCTGCTGGAAATGGAGGACGAGAGTATGATAGCTGTGCTTACAATGGATATGCCAACAGTATATTTACAATAACAATATCTGGAGTCAGTAGGAATGGAAGTATCCCTGGATATGCAGAGAGGTGCTCCGCTGTGATGGCTACCACTTACAGCCAGGATGATGCGGAAGGAGTTGACTCAATTGTAAGCATGTCCGTCTTTTAGTTAGTTAGTTGGTTGTGGCCAGTTGATTCTCAGCCTAACTTGGGTCGCGAGATTAGTCACACAGGGGACCTCGAAGTTTTTCTATGAATAGAAGTTCCTATATGTCTTCCTGACACTGTTTACAGTGTTGAGATGAAACGTTTGGCTAAATTGAAGTTGGTTGAGAGTATGGTTTTGTTGAAAAACAGCTTTACTTTAAGCAGGTCTTCGCTCTCAGATCCCACGTAAAATTAAAACGGGTGTGTTGGTTTTTAAGAGAGAGAGAGAGAAGAACTGAGAGAGCTGGAGAACCAGGGGATTAACTCTCTGAGTAAATTCCAGGAATCAAACGTTACTATAGGAACAGGCGGTCTGCCATGCCTGCTCTCTTATCATGCTGTCTGCCTCTCTCTCTCCCCGCCACACATTCGCACACACTGGACAGATTTAGAGCAACCACTCTTGCAGCAAAAATGAACGGAAAAATAGTTCGTCTGATTCTGCTTACTTTTGTTCTTAATGTGAAATAAAACCGACAGAAAAGTGTAATAAAAATCATCGTTTCTACAACCGGCACAGTGGTTGGAGTTTTTTGGCTCGTGCCTTCGGCCTCTTCTGCCAATAACCGAAAATATTTGCATCAGACAATGACGAAAGGTTTTTTGCTCTTGCTTACAGGGGTCAATTCTAGAATACTAAGAAAAGTAACTGAAATTACTATCCATCTTTGCCGTTTATCGTAGCTGTAAAAAGTTATGCTTAAACTCGTTATTCTCTCTCCTACGTGTTTTTCCTTCAGATTACTTCAGATCTTAACGGCACCTGCGCATCAACATTTGCAGCCACCTCTGCAGCGACTGCAATGGCTTCTGGGATCATAGCGTTAGCGATGGAAGTCAAGTGAGTAGATATAACCGACTGACAAGCATTCCGTAAGTACCTTACTCTTCCTTATTATGGCTATTTCTCAGCTTCAATTCCTCCATGCTTCCATGCTCTCAAAGCTTGGATTTGCGAGTGTAAATCGTGTCGTTCCTCGCCTTTCTTAAGGCCTATTTACACGGTACGACTTTGTCGCATGCGACAAGCTTACGACAGGCCTACGACATGACTTAGGACAATTTACACGCGCACGACATTTTCACCTACGACATGCCAAAATCGCGTGCAATTCCACTCGTTTCGGCCGCGGTCATTGTTTCAATAATTTGCAAGGGAAGGAAAAGAACCTCTTCCTCGCTCCACAGTGATATCATATTCTCTGTTTCCTCATCTGAGAATGTATTTTTCGCTTTGGAAGCAGTCTTCGACTTTCCGGAGGCGACTTCCTCCGCCATTTTGACGCAAGAAAATTTCACCTTCCTCCCCTACTCAGTAGAAATTTGTCACAAAATACGTCATTTTCTATCAATTTCGGCTACGATTGTCGCAGCGTTTTAAAACGTGTTTTAAAATCCTACGACATTTTTCGTGACGTGCTCGACAGTCGTAAGCGAGTGGTAGGTTTGATTTACACGATACAATTCGTGTCGTAGGCCTGTCGTAAGCTTGTCGCATGCGACAAAGTCGTACCGTGTAAATAGGCTTTTACATGCCTTTACAGTGTGCGTGAGGACCATTCCTTCCAACTCTCGCTCTTTACCCACCCACGCCCTCCCCCTCCCAATCTTTTTTTGTTCGATCTCACGCACGATGATGTAATGGCGGTGAATAGTCTCGTTCCCAGACTTTCCACGGCCAAGCGGTTACATATTTCGGTTGCAGCTGCACGTTAGGATCTGGCTACAAGATTAGGCGGTGAATTATTTACGATGAAAGTGAATGATACCTGATGACGGTAAATGATGTGTAATGACTGTGAATGGACTGTAAAGTCGGTGACAGCTAGTCACGAAAAATTGCAGTTTTCTTTAAGAGGCCATTAATCAATTTCAAATGTATGACTTTAGAATCGTTCGCCTCTCGTTATTTTTACTTCAATGCGAAAGCCAGCGACAGTTACCTATTAAACTGAAAACTTCGTTGAGATCGCACCATCCAGAGCTTTCAGAAAGCTCGATCAAGGGAAAGTTAAAAAAAACTAGTTAAATTTGCCATATGAGTAGGCGTGAAAGGATGAAGAACATTCGTTTGCCGCTGGTTTTGTTTTGTTTGCTTATTTTTCTTCATGTTGAACAGGTGTATCCTCATTGATTGAAAAGGTTTGGAGAAGTTTGCGTCTTAATGTAATTTTCCGTAGAATTGCGAAATGTGAAGGGGCCACAGTCACGTTTTTTCAAAACCAATGTCTCGATTATTGTTAATTGAAAGGGTTTGTTCTTCTAAATGGCATTGTACCCGCACTTTATTGATACAGTCAAGGTCACGTAACGACAAAAATTAATTTCAAGGTCTGAATTTGGCGGCTTTCGTCTAAGTCGAGAAAAACAGGAAAAAAGTTGCAGCAATTTTTGTCAAGTTTAATCCTTGCCAACTTTGCTAGTCCCACCCTCCTTTTGGCTTTCCTCTAATTAAACGAAATCCTACCTTAATGGAAGTCGACTGCGAGATGTTTAAGAGATGTTTAATGCATTCAATACCCACTTGGTCGGGGGGGGGGTTGGGAATGGTGACACAAAATCGTCGCAGAAAATGCTCATTTTTCATCACAACGCCTAATGCGCCATATAGTTTGAAAATCTAGATAATGTAAGCAACACAAAAATTCACGATAAAGTAAATAACAGAGCGCTGTCTAATTTTGGTTCGGAAGTCGTATCAATGTCTTGGTACGTCACAGAGGAAGATCTTTTGCCATTATTAGTCGTAAGTAACTCTCATAATTAGAATACAGACATGTGGCGCACAAGGTTCATAGAAAAAGCGCATAAAAGTCGTCTTTACTCGTGAAGGAAACTTTTGGCTTGGCCAAGCAACATAGCGTTAAATTTGCAGACACGGCTACAATTCTGGCAGGTGAATTTGAAGTCATACATCCGGCCTATTTCTTGGTTCTTACTTCTTCCGCTTTCCGTCTTTTAAATATAGGGATAGAACTACATAACAGTGATAAACATTTTTTTTCTTTTCGTTAGAACGTTCAATTTTGCAGTTGTGGCTGTATGTTCTTCTTTCATTTTCACTTTTTAGCCCCCAAAGTTCTTAAATATGTTCTTCAGTTTTTCTAACTAATATTGACTGTTTTTGATGTTGTTTTTGTAGCACTTAAACATTTTGAATAGTACGAAATTCGACTTTAACCTCATTCGAACTTCAATTTGCAGATTTTGAATAAATATCCACGTCATTGAGATTAGAAGAAAAAGTCCCTCAAAATAAACGCAAGATCGGATATTTCTGTGTTTTTAGCTCGATAAAAATGCCGGATGGAGATAGGCCATCCACTTTTGGTGTACTTCTGCAGATGGAATTATTTTTTCAGTTTATTTTGAACCAATGGCCCCACAGTAGGTTCTCACAAACAAAACAGAATTAAAAAACTGAAGCTCGCTGATGTTAGCCTGGAGAAAGCCATCTGTTTAAGGCTATATAGCTAGTTAGAGGTATTTTATAAATTATATAAATGGGCAGAAAGCTGATATAAATTGTTTGATATTGGAAAGGAATGAGCCAACTTATTGCTTCCACGGTAAGCCATGCAGCTGTCAGTATTTTGCAAATATCCTCAAATAGCGTGACCCCAGTCCCTTATCGTTTCGTAAATAAAATGATTTGAGACTTGTTGGACCCTCAGGTAATGCTGCTAAAAAACAAAACTGTAATCACGTTTAAGATGTTGAATTATGCTTTTTGTAGTCTCAAGGGGAAAACTTTTAAATTCTAATGTGGGGGCGGATGATCTCGAATGAAATATCCTGCTAGCATGATTGGAAATTTCGAGTTCATAGAAAATGAATTTTTTAATAAAAATCCTGTTGAAAAAAAATTTCGGCTCATACGTTATCACTCCTAATTTCATGGTGATATGACTTCAAGGTGATATGACCCGGAGACTATCTCTGAATTATTTTCATTCAAAAGAGGATGAACTCTTGATGTAAATAATCAGTAGAAAAGAATATGTTAACCGTTACCAGGTGTTTTGAAAGTCATAAGTTGATTTAATTTTATGAAATTTTTACGCAATTCCTTCCAGTTTATTCTGACCCGAACCCTTTGAAGCATGCTGGATTGATTATCGCGGTTACAATATCTTTCCCAGCTTGGTTTAAGTCAAATTTAGTTAGTTACGATTGCAGTCGAAGTCAGTGTTTTGAATGAAACATTGTTCGTAATTAGCTTTTTGCGAAATGTTATTCATTTGGTGTTTTGTTTTTTCACTCAAGCCCCTGATGTAAAAAGTCCTCGGCAATATCTCCACCCCATCCACCTTCCCAAATTAAAACCCCAACTGCTAAAACGCTGCCTGAAAATCTGAAAGTTCGTGGTAGAATAACGGGTTTTTACCGAACTTTCCATCGTCACGCTTAAATCCAAAACGCCAATTTTGTGCTGTGCCTTTAAACTTGTCTCCATTTTATAACTTTATTTAGTGTCAGTTCTGTAAAAATGGTTTATTTGAGTTCCGGATGCCCTTTGAAGTACTGCAGAAAAATGTCGTCGTATGTTTGCCAGTTTAAATTGACATGTAAAAGAAGTAATTACCACGAAGAAAAAGCTAATTAAGAACATTTCTAAGACTTGAATTTTGGCGCAAAACGCCGCCGTTTTTTGGTGTACATAGATAAATTTATACAAGAGTCCAAACTTACGAAATAATTATAAACAAAGATAACTGACGGAATACAAAATATTCAAATGGTCCAAACGCTTGACTTTTAGTATATACCAGACAGGTGAATATCACACACACACACACCAGGTTTTTTCGCGCGCTGATTGGCCGGTTCGTAAGCGATTGGCAATTACTATTTACCCTCAAGCAGACGAAAAGACAACACCGTGCGTCAAGAATTAAATTCCTGACCAATTTTTTGGTATGTTGTCATAATTGAACCAATCTTTTGGTATCTGTGTGGTACGTATTTGATCTCAGTCGGTGAAAGTGATCAAGGTGACCTCGCCACTTCGCAACTCGGTACATGTTCACCGCTATCCACCTACACTTCTGTGAATAATTGTCAAAGCGTGATGTTTCTAATTTCTCAGTCTGCGTCTTGAATTGTAAATTCTTAGGCGCCAAGATGTCTGAGCGCGGAGGTGATGTTTCCAATTGGAAAGGAATTGTGGTTTTAAGGGTCTCTCCATTTCAGAGTAGCCCATAAATTGGAAAATATTTCTAATACATGATTTATGATGTTGGCAATATAAGAGGAATTGTGGCTCCAAGGCCCTTTCCATTCTTTATCCAATCCATAAAGTTAAAAAGATAACAAGAAACATTCATTATGCAGCTTTTAAGTGTTAGATAACAGCAAGTTATTAATACCCAACGACAAACAGCGGAAATAATTGGTGATTTGACCAATATTAACTCCTGTCAATCAACAAATGATCCGCTTTTGACTTGTACTTCCCCGTCGTTGCGGATGTTTAAGGGAGATCATAAGATCAAGATTTTCGGCGAGAGTTTTTAAGTGCGATCTTAACATTTAACGACTTAGAGAGAGGAGATAGGTTTCCACTTTTGATATAAGTTCATCTTTTTCCTCGAAAGATTTGATAATCAATACATTAATAACTCTGAGCTGACATAAGTTGAGAACCACCGAAAAAACCATCTATGGCGAACATCACTGCCGAAGATGAAGCTAACACAGTCAAGACAGAAATCTTGCATTATATAAGCAGTGCTCCAGGTGGCGTATCTATTTTTCTCGCAGCTTTAAACATAGTTCTCGCCATCGTCGCAACTCTGGGAAATTCTCTTCTCCTGATTGCACTGCGTAAAGTCATGTCAATTTATCCTCCAACAAAACTTTTTTTCCGAAGTTTGGCAGTGACTGATCTCTTCGCTGGTCTTATCGTGCAACCAATGTACTCAATTACTCTTATACCAGGGATAAGCCACAAGAATCTTATGTACTACAGCATCCAAGTAACTGGCATCTCTGGCTCAATTCTTTGCACCGTTTCGATTTTGACTTCAACCGCAATCAGTGTGGACAGGCTTCTGGCGCTGCTTTTGGGGCTGAGATACAAACAGGTTGTAACACTGAAGCGCACACGAGCGGTGGTGGGCTGTATTTGGTTACTGAGCTGTTCAATGGGTGGATGGAGGTACAGTAATTGGGGCGCTGAAGCTTCCAAATTCACGTTGTTTGTTTTGATGCTTCTGTCCCTAATAATTTCCATCTGCTCTTACACGAAAATCTATCTCTACCTACAAAATCAACAAGCTCAGTTACACGCAAAAAAACACCGTGAGATCCATCAAGAGCCAACATCAAACGGAGGAGAAGGTCGACTGAATATGGAAAGATATAAGAAGTTGGTTTCTAGTATAGCATGGGTACAGTTGGCTTTACTTCTGTGTTTTATTCCCTTTACTGTTGGGAGTATGCTATTCACACACAGAAAACTAACTGGTGTGGCCACTGGAATAGCGCATTTTTGTGTATCAATTCCATATGTGCTGTTTAACCCAGCTCTGAACCCGATTCTTTACTGCTGGAAGATCAGAGAAGTCAAACAAGCCATGAAGGAGACTGTCAGAAAATTAAACTGCTATTTCAAGTCAAGCTGGTCCTTTTTTCCGTCGAGCATCACTAATACCACCCGAGCTTAACTTAAATTCTGACTGTGCATGGCGTCTTTGAAACATATCTAGCACCATAAGGTGACACTGTGGATCCAGTTTTGAAATTGAAAATCGAATTTCGAATTTAATATTCTAAAGCCATCCGGAAACAAAGTAGATTAGAGGAAATTCAAAACCATTCCGGTATAATGCTGTACAAAATTGACAAGGGACAAAACTTTAAAGAATAAACCGTAATTCAAAATTTGTAGATACAAATAAGTTTAAATTTTTAGAAATTAAATACGTAAATATTAAAATACGTAAACCGTGAGATTGATATTGATGTTTAATATTATGTTTAATTTCATGTAAAAATTTGATGTGGAAACAGAATGTTTGAACGATGACATGAATTTTTCAGGCCAAAAGTTATAAGCTGAATATTTCCGCGACAACATAAAGTGCGCGGTAATAACATGTTACAGAGCAGATGCAGCTGTCTACCTGTATATTTATTTTCAAGTCTTTTTCAGTTATTCAGAATAAGCTCAAATGCATGGGCGTATCGTTGACCGGCAATGTTTTCTGGTTTAAAAAAATCTTGAGGATACTTGTTAAGGATACGCAACATTTTCGGGAAGAATTCTCGTGCGCTGCACCATTATTTAGTGTTGCATGCTAATTTTACCATGGAAAAAAGCCGACATTTAAAAATTTAAATATTTGTCCATTTTCTGCACACATGCGCAATTGGTATTTTTGTCACCAGCGTGACTGAGAGTGAACTAAAATTTATCATTTGGCGGAATCGAACGTCAGATCTTCCAGACAGACCACAGAGAACTCGAGGGCGAATCAGGTCATATCATGATATTCAAATCTTGTTGAGAAGTAAATAGATGCAGACAAGCACTGAAAATAAAGCAATAAGGATTGATATTTTACCACATTGCGTAGTCAGGATTTGTTGACGGTAATTCGTACCTGATTTCACGCGTCGTTTATTTTCAGCTTAATTAAGGGCCTCATATGATACCCACAGAATTTTCAAGCGTTGCATCATACTGACCACAAACTACTTATACAAGTATTTGATAATTTTTTCATTCTATAAAAGTTACGATTAGCTAAAAAATGATGTAGATAAATTTGGTTGAAGACGTGCATAGGCAATAGAAAGAATCCGCTAAGTGATCGAGGGTCAAATTAAATCGTCTGTTTCCAAGTCCACCACCATCGACTCGTGATATTGATATGAGAGGATCGTTGCAAAATGACGGTAACTGGTGTCATTGTTTCCAAGTTTTTTTTTTACTCTAGAGAAGTCACGACTAGCTTAAAGATAAATGATGTAGATAAATTTGGTTAAAGACTTATATAGGCAATAGAAAGAATCCATGAAGTGATCGAGGGTCAAATTAAACCTTCTGTTTCCAAGTCCACGAGCATCGACTCGTGATATTGATATGAGAGGATCGTTGCAAAATGATGGTAACTGGTGTCATTGTGCTGTTAACAATTTTTTTATTCTAGAAAAGTCATGATGAACTTAAAAATGATTTAGATAAATTTGGTTGAAGACGTGCATAGGCAATAGAAATAATCCATTAAGTGATTAAGGGTCGAATATAACTTTCATTTTCCCAAGTCCACGACCATCGTCTCATGATATTGATATGAGAGGATCGCTCCAAAGTGATGGTAGCTGGAGTCAATTGTTTACACTTTTCTCATGGAAGGAATCATAGGCTCATCCTAGGAAATGATGCGAAAAGGCTTTTGATGACGAGTTGTACAAATCGTTCTTCCTAAACACAACGTGCCCAGAGCTCTTGTTGAATCTTTACATCTCGTTTGAAATATTTATTAGACGTGAAAACGAAAAAAATCCCTATGAGAACCATCCATGTTAAGTTTATTTCATCTTATTGTAGATCTGATACAACCGGTTACAAATTCAAGTTCTCCTCTTCCTCATTATATACATTTTCGCGTCCAATTTTTGCATTTACTGTTAACGCAAATTAAGCATGCAAAGCTACATTAAAAAAAAACACTCTCCACTCTTCTAACAGGCGATCGATATTGACATTAATTGTAATGTGAGATATTTCCCATAGCAAAAATGAACATGTCCTCAGATATCTGAAAACTGATGGAGCTTATCTTATCGGTGTTGAGACGGGTGGAAATTATTCAATTTATTTATATTTGTATGACTGAGATGTAATCCTCTCTCGAGCTGTTATATGCACCCCCCGCCTTACAAACTTTTTCTAAGAAGATAGGGGACGGTTATTCAGCTGCTGATTCAAACTTCCTGTGTCGCTGAATATTTAGTAGTTCTCATTATCACCCGGCGATCTCGAGAAAGCTCTTTTATGATGAGTCATCATTGTTTTCTGTTTATTATCGATGTTGTAAAACGAAATCTAAAATTCAACATCTTGAATCCAACACCGTCAAAGGAGACTAAAACTAATCAAATTTCACATTTTCATATCAATGGTTAACACCACTTTTAACTAATTTTCCCTCAATGAAAATGCCTAAAATACATTTACAGGTAAACAGTTCAAAGTTTTTTAATTTCGATTACATTTAAAGACACTTCATGCATCACGAAATTAGCAGGCTTCTATCAGCCGGTTTAAGGGATTCATTTCGTCTTTGAAACACGCATTGCTTTGCAACAAATATTTACTTAAACTGTACAAAATCGACGGAAATTGTTGTTTACTTTATGCTCTCTATGATTTGTCTTTTTTTTCGAAAAAGTCTTTTTAAAGAGTTGACAGGGATTTAAAAGAAGAAAACATACAAATTACTATTTACATTATGCTCCCGATTAGTTGTTGGTTTTTTTTCTCACAACAAAACATACCTATTCTCAACTGTTTATTTTGACTCGAATTTTTAATCCGAATTTATGCTTTAAAAATTTGGCTTTCGTTCCCTTTCTTTGCCATCGAAAACGGTTTTGAATTTAGTTTTTATGTCCTCGTTTCATGTGACGTTTGAAAACGGATTTTAAATTTTATTTTTATCATAAATAACTTTCCATTAAAACTTGGAATAAAATCGCCTTATGGTGCCAGAGATATTTCAAAGACGCCATGCAAAGTCAAAGCGTAAAGTGAGATTTTATGGAACAAAAAAAAACCTAGTGAGACTTAATACAACAAATAACTTTTCTGATAGTCTCCTTCATGGCTTGTTTGACTTCTCTGATCTTCCAGCAGTAAAGAATCGGGTTCAGAGCTGGGTTAAACAGCACATATGGGATAGATACACAAAAATGCGCTATTCCAGTGGCCACACCAGTTAGTTTTCTGTGTGTGAATAGCATACTACCAACAGTAAAGGGAACAAAACACAGAAGTAAAGCCAACTGTACCCATGCTATACTAGAAACCGACTTCTTATATCTTTCCATATTCAGTCGACCTTCTCCTCCGTTTGATGATGGTTCTTTATGGATCTCACGTTCTTTTGCGTGTAACTGAACCTGTTTATTATGTAGGTAAAGATAGATCTTCGTGTACGAGCAGATGGAAATTATTAGGGACAGAAGCATCAAAACAAATAGCGTGAACTTGGCAGCTTCAGCGCCCCAATTGCTGTACCTCCAGCCACCCATTGCACAACTCAGTAACCAAATACAGGTAATCGCCGCTCGCACGCGCCTTAGAGTAACAACCTGTTTGTATCTCAGCCCCAAAAGCAGCGCCAGAAGCCTGTCCACACTGATTGCTGTTGACATCAAAATAGATACGGAGCACAAAATTGAGCCAGAAATACCAGTTACTTGGATGCTGTAGTAAACAAGATTCTTGTGGCTTATCCCAGGAATAAGAGTTATTGAGTATATCGGTTGTATGATGAGACCAACGAAAAGATCAGTGATCGCCAAACTTCGGAAAAAAAGTTTTGTTGGAGGATAAATAGACGTTACTTTACGCAAAGCGATGAGTAGAAGGGCATTGCCCAGAGTTCCGATGATGGCGAGAACTATGTTAAGTGCTGCGAGAAAAACAGATAAACCATCCGGAGCACTGCGTATGAAGTGTAACACTTCTGTGTTGACTGTGTTAGCTTCATCCTTGGCTGTGATATTGGCCATGCGATGTTTTCTCGACTAATCTCAGCTCAGAGTCGTTGTTGATGATTTTTCTTCAGCATCACAGAGACGAAACATGAACTGAAAAGAACTAATCGAAGACCTTTCGCTTCGAGTCGTAAATGCAAATATCGCGTCAAACCATTATTTAAGTAATGGTTTTTTTGACGGGAACCAAAGAGACAAAAACCAGCAGAGAAAAAGGGTGTCAAACGAGAGTCGCAAAACGACAAAATAGTGACGTTTAGCATCCTTTATTTAAAGATGAACAATGCCCTGACGTAGTTCTTAAATACCTTAAAGGGCATCAAACTGTCAAGCCCGGTCCGGTCAATTACAACGCAGCACGACGAACAGTTTAGCAGATTTGAAATATCTGTCGGTGATCTACAAAGGCGGTGTATTGGTAGAGCATTTTTGAGATGGAACATCTGTTTGAGTGCACTTCTTAATTTGGTATTGATAGCCATTCCTTATGATGATGTGATGTCTTATATAGTGCAATTCGATATTGACTTTTTCGCGTAAAAAAAATAATAAAGAAGAAAGAAACACTAGTTATTCTTAACGAAACAAAAGGGATAGTAGTCAAAAAATGTTCTTCAAAAGAAGTCAATTTCGGGTATCGTTTGAGATTCAGGCTGTAACGAAAATCTTCGCTCTTGGCTCTTGGATTTTCCAGTTCACATGTGGTAGTGTCTTCCAATTTTTTTTTGTTTTTTTTCGCAATCTTAAGTAGAAATTCGATTCAGAAAAAGCGGAAACCTTTATCGTTCGGGTGACAACTGGTAACAACCTGAGGCCTATTTTACCTCCATTTTAGACTGAGAAATGACTCGATTTCTTTGCAATTTCGATTTTTCCGCATTTGATTCCCAGCTGTAATGTCTGGTAGAGAAAAACAAAAAAGGGAATGGCATTACCATAAGTTATCGAACCAACGACCATCATGCTCTGATATGGGAACTTCAATGTGACGTCACTTTCCGTAAGTGGCACATTCGTTTATCGAGTAAACACAATAACTTGTTTTCAATGTGGTGCGATAAGATAACTCTTCTTTGTCACATTAAGGGCACCTCGAAGTTCAAAATTATTCACAATCGTATGATAGTGGTTCGTTCGTTTTAAATCAATAGGGAATAAGTGGCGGGGGGGCAGTAGAACACAAGTGTATTAGAAGGTGATTGAAACATCGAATCTCCCTTTTTTCCATGTCGCTAAAGTCATATCCTCTTTGTTTGCAGTCCGGAGGTCACGTGGCGTGATATGCAGCACCTGATTGCTTATTCGTCCAACCATGATTTGCCTCGTTCTGATGACTGGATGCAAAATGCTGCTGGGCTCTGGGGTGAGATCATCATTTTACCAAAAAGACTGAAGTTGAAAAAAACGTACCGTGAGGAGAATCAGATTTATGATCGTTTTCACCCCCGAGTCCCTTGTGAAACTAAGAATCTCATACCCTTAATTTACAATTTTGCCGTCGGATGCTTCTCCAACTGAGCTGCAGAAAACTCTTTGTTTAACCAATTATATAGTATTTAACGTTCTCCCAGAAGAGTTAGGATAAATCATATGCTCATATGCTTATCGTTTACAGTTAGTAGTTACTTTGGATTTGGACTCATGGATGCAGCGGCTTTGGTAAACTATTCCAGGGCTTGGCATACAGTGCCAGAACAGATCAAATGCGAGATTCCTCGGCCCAGACTGAACAGGTAATAATGAATTTTACCGAGAATTTTGCCATGATTGCATCTCTACCTTTATTAGGTTGAGCATACTGAAAAAGACTGGCTTTGCTAGCGGACAAGGCGAAGGGTGCTGTAGATTATTTTAGGACCTCCCTAATGGAGCAATCTTGATTTTTGTACTTTTTTTCGGTCTAAGAGCTCAAATGAAAGTTCCACTTGTCTTTTCGAAGACTGTGCACAATCAAATTGAAAAAAGCTAAAACACATGAAGCAAAGAAATCTGTCGGGTTTCATAACCATATCCCGGTTATAAAATAAAAGGTTTTATGGACTAAGGTGTGAAACTTGTCACAGCAGCTGATGCTTCTATTTTGCAGATTTTTGGGGCAGTATGGCGACACGGAAGTGACTCTGAACGTGTCCAAATATAGCTGTGGTGGCGAGAACACTATCCAGTACTTGGAACACGTGGTCGTTATAATCCAGGCCAGGTTTGACAGGCGTGGTTATCTTGAAGGGAATTTGACCTCGCCTCGAGGGACCACATCCCAGATCCTTCCCTATCGTGCAAATGACGTAATTGCGACAGATTTCAATAACTGGCCGATGCTCAGCCTGCAGTTTTGGGGAGAAAATCCTGAAGGGGCTTGGAATCTAAGATTTAGGAACCATTTTCCAGCCCACGAATTTTCAGGTAAGAGGGCTTTACTGATTCCTTTGCACAATTGCAGGAAACATCGCAACAAATGTTTGACAGCCGCTTCAACATCACGGTGTTGTGGTGAATGAAGCTAAATACCGAACCTTGGTATTACGACGCCCCTACCCCCCCACCTCTATGAAAGCTGCACAGAAGCGGAAGGTTATGACAGTTTTTTCCACGTGAACTACACGTCTTGGATAAGCTGCTTATCTATTTAAGATTACTCTATTGCTTTTTTTTTTTTTTTTTTTTACATTTTTCAGGTTATTTGTTTAATTGGACCCTTGTTCTTTACGGAACAGCTAGTGATCCGTTGGAAAAGAATCCTCATGTATCAAGACCTTTCACCACGAGGATAAGTGAGTAGATGTCCATATACCGTACACATTATTCCCAAAACGTTGGCCTAAGAGTTTTACGACTTGAGTCATCAGTGGAAAAATTACAAAGAGTTATTTTTGGTGACTGTTCGTAAGCTGCTAGAGTGATCCATCTTTCGATGACAAGTCTCAAATCGCTTTACAAACAGCAAACGCATTCACTGATTTTCTTAGCGTATTTTTGAACAGATACGGTGCCTGTTCTCCATCTCTTTCTCTCGTCATTTGAATTAGAAGGAGCTACGTGAGTTTTTTTTTATTTCAAAATTTGCTCTAAATTTTTTCCAAGAGTGTCATTTTAAATCCGTTTTCATCTTGGCTATCCGAACCATCCTTGTTTCTTTTTGGTTTATTCTCACATCTTCAATGTTTTCCTTTCCTTGCAAACTGATAATTATTTTTACGATGAGTGGCAAAAGTAATCGGCACGCCTCCTCTAACTAGGTGATCGACCACCCTCCACTCAACATATTAAACGAAATTATTGTAATTTGTCTCCAATGAGTTACATGACAGTCCTCTCCCCCCCTTCCTCCCAAAAAATGTTGCCTAAAATTAGTGAGAATTTTGTTGAGATCAGGCATGAAATAGGAGAGAGGGTGAGAAAAATGAAAGTTATAGAAAAAATCATTAAGTAGTAGAGTGTGCGCAGAATCTTGCCACTCATTTTATTTCTATTAGAATATCGTCGCATAGATTCTTTGTTACCGTATATTATCTCAAAAGGAGTCCTCTCTTGAAAAATAGCGATTCTTTTCCTTCTTATAAAATAATTCCTCCATCTGCAGACCTTTTTTTAATTAAATTTTTACTCAATTGTTTAGGCGAAATAAAAAGTTTTCTCCTCAAGTGTTTGGACCATAATGTCTGGAGGGATTTTTAATTGGAGAAACTGATATTATTTTGCGGGTGAAGTTAAGGTTTACTTTTTTTCCTTGGTGTTTAAGGTAACATGCTTTTAATTGATATTTTTATCCCCTACACATGTTATCAGACGTGACCACAAGTACAGAAGTCATGCCGGGTACTGCTGTTCCTGTTGCTCGCCATGAAGGTGAACATGTCAGCTTTATTTTTTGTTGTTTCTCCAGCATAATAGAGACACATCGTTTGACCCGTGTTATTATTGGCACTGCCTCTAACAAAATTGCTTGACCCCGTAATTACCTTGTGCATAACATCAATGACCGATTATGAAACAACAGAATTGTGTTATATTGAAGTTCGCAAGGCAACCAGTTGGACAATCGGACATGGTTTGATGCTACTCTGGTTAAAAGATTTAATGATTGTAACCGAGAAGTTACAATTTATAGACCCAACGTTTCGACACTCCTGTCTAGTGCCTTCATCAGGGGTGGAAGCCCTTCATCAGAGGTGGAAGCCCGTAATGAAGGCACTAGACAGAAGTGTCGAAACGTTGGGTCTATGAATTGTAACTTCTCGATTAAAATCATTAAATCTTTAAATCGTAGTAGCATCAAACCATGTCTGATAATTATGTGTGTTTCGGCAAAATGTTATTGACGAGAACACTTTTTGACGCTTATTATTCGAGAAGTGAATCTAAGTCAGGAATAATCCTGGAAATATCTCCCAGTTTACGCCTGCTTCAAATTCCCGAACTATCCAGATAGAATCGATAAAAGTACACAACTACAAACACTCCTTTACTCCCGTGACCCGAATGAAGTCAATCTTGTCAGTGGTTTCTTGTGCATCGTGTCATCCTCGTACTTAACCAAAGTTTTGTTGTGTTACAGGCTTGTCGAAGACAGAAATAGCTTTGATGAGCAGCGCCGCCGTTATTGCTTTGATTATTGTTATTTTAGCTTTGGCTTATTGTAAGTTTAGAGTTTGTCGACGAAAATCAAGGGCCGATAAACCATCCAACCACATCAAGTTTTCAGCGTTAAGTCGCACTTCGACAGAAGCTGCAAGGGAAGAATCCACGCAAAGTGTTTAACTGAACGAAGCAGGCAAGTTATCTCCACGTTCGGTAACTGTTCCTATCCTTCACAGTAGGTAGAGGAAGGAATGGCACAAAGAAAAAACGTTTGTAAACCGAACCCTCAGAGCCACTCATAAAGATGAGTTAGATCTCGGGAGGATTTGGAAATGATTCAGAAGGAAAACGGGTTGCGGTATTGAATATTGCTTTGTGGTCAATTTATGAGAGGACTGAGGTCATCATTACAATGCATATAGACAAATGTTAGTTATAAAACGGAATAAATAAGGAAATATTTAATGATGTTGCAGTTGTGATTTAGCGTCGGGGAGAAGCTGGTGAAGAGAGATATTCGAAACCAAAATAAAATTTACACCGAAGGGTTTGATTATCAATTGCTTGTCGAAATATGCTGACTTTACTACTGATGTATTACTGTTATCGCCATCAGTGGAGTTCTTTCGATGAAAAGATGACGACCCCTTGTTTCTTATTTAAGTAAAACACGCAAGCTCACCTTCTAGCCACTGTGAAATACTCTTAACATTAAATGATTTTCGTAAAGAAACTCCCGGTTACTAAATTCCTTAGGTAAACTCCTAAGTAACCTCGAGGGATTTCAAATAAAGTAGAACGCCACTTTTAGGAATAACTAATTCTAGATATTTCAAAGGCACAAAGGAATCTTAGTGTCAAATATTATTACCTTTTATTGAATGTACTGAAAATTAGATTTCGACTCGATTAGCGCCGTCGACTTTGGTGGAACACGATACGGCCTTAAAGTTAACATCCAAAGAAGTCAAAGAACCTCACGAGCTGACCCTCAGTTAGGAGGCCTTGATTGGAGCCCTGGACCGAGCCCTAGGGCCAGAAAAATTAGACCTCTCAAGACTGGTAATAAACCAATTTAGTTACTCGATTAAGGCATTTACCCCGAGAAAGAGTTTAAGGGGCGATAGCTGGAAATATATTCGTGTAGATTTTCAAACGAAATTTCTTTTTCAATTTTTGGCTTTATTTTTACATATCTGTTAACTCTCTCTAGAGTTATGGTTGAGAGGGTGTCGGAGAAAAGAGGAGGGGCTCTTTTAATGAGAGTTTCGTGTGCCTTGAACATAGAGGGGCTGTGAACAATAACGTGGACATTCTCAAGCAAAAGATTATTTAAGAAACAGTTAATAATCTCTTTTTCCCAAGTGATGACGAAATTCTGCCCGAGGCAATTCGAATTCTGATAATTGATATTTTTAAACTCGAACTCTAAATACATGGACAGCTACTGAGAGAGCTGAATTGAAGAATTTTGATTGAATTTTTAATTTCAAACACTTCATGTGCAAAAAAAGGCACCAAACTTATCACTGTTTGAAAGTCCTCAACCCACCGTGCGTTTACCCAGCATACACAGCAATCCTAAAGATTTATCGTTTGTAAGCGAGGCTGAAACCAAAAGCCATCCCGGAAGTAGCGTACGTTCGATTTCGATAGTTGCAAGTGAAGTACGGTTTGGGAATTGTAAGTCGCGTAGCAGAAAAGACACATTGAAGAATCGTGTAGAGTAATGGTAAGTTCGTTAGTGTTTGCTGTGAATAGCAAAGTAAGATTCCCAAGAATATAAAGACGTTAAACGCAATTTGGCGAGAAGAGAGGGCCTCCTCCACTGTAACGGCCAAGACGAAACGATCGAAACGAAACGACTGTAATTACCAAAATTAAACGAGAAGAGCGGACGGACAATGAAATGCCGACGAAAATGTAGATTTCACTTCAGATATTCTCTCACATTTAAGGCCTATAAATATCAAGGCCGCCTCACAAATTTATCTTGTGTAGCCCTGTTGCAGAGGCCAACCCAAGCCAATGGCAATCGAGAGACAACTAAATTTTCCCGTGAGGTAGATCAGGAATAGACCATAATCGAAATGAGACGAATATGGGCATTCATTTTATTACGTTTCGGTCGTTTCATTTCGCTGTTTCGGGTTTTAGTAAATACCCCAAAACTGTGCAGTGACATGTCATCCAGTCGTTACTCAAATCTAACAGTACTGTTAATAAGCTTTTAACTATAGCTCCATGGAGTACGTGAATTAAACTTCCCTAGCTAGTCGTTTGAATCGACCATTGCAGTGTGGACTTACTGAATTAAACTTCCCTAGCTAGTCGTTTGAATCGACCATTGCAGTGTGGACTTACTGCATTAATCTGAGTTACCATTTTCCTTAGAGAAGTAAATGATGGGAGACATACATTGCAAGAGCAACATTGTAAATCAAGATTATCTAAAGCTTGAAAACTATCATTCACAACGCAAGTTCTCAATGCAGTAATTCTAACATGAAGAAGTGTTAACTTAACTCGTTATAAGTTTATAACTAGAAGTCTAAAAATCATTCCTTAACCCTTAACTCCCCAAAGAGTTAAGCACACAACTTCTCCTTACAATATACAAACATCTTCCAGAAAACAGTTACTATGAGAATATTCAAACTTATTCACATAAAAGTTGTTTTCTCGATCTAACACCAAATTCTTCAGACAAATTTACAAGGAAATGTGCAGCAGTTAGAGGGGAGAGTTTACAATCAGATCTTGGGAGTTAATGGGTGAAATAGGGGCAAAAAAGCAAGAGAAAAGTCTCAGAGCCATTTTTTAACCAAACACATTGCTTTTCATATTTAATGAGATAATGAGGAAATTAATTTATCCAAGAATTGTAAATTACATGAAGAAGCTATGCATCTTATGCATGAACAGCAAATATTTGTATGCAATCTTTTTACTACTCATGCACTTCACTTCTTCAATGAAAATATTACTTCTATTGACAATGGAAAGTACTGTTCTTTAGTTGTCTTCAAAGATCTTTGTAAAGTTTTTGATTCTGTTGATCCTTCAGTCTTGCTAGTATAAAGCTGGAGTATTATGGTATTATGAGTGTTGCAAATGATTTCTTGGTGTGTATCCTATCTAAACAAATCTAAACAACAGAGAACCATTTATGTCCATGGAATAATTGGTACCACTTCAGATTACCAAACTGTAACATATATTGGTTTACCTCAGGGGTCAGTGTTGGAACTTACCAGTTCATCTTTTTCTATGTATTTAGATAATTTAAAGGAATTCTCCAATGTTAAAGAAAATCTTGAATTTTAGGAATTTCTTTCCTTTTGACTGATCAGGGTATAATTTCTAAATCTGGAGGAATGTATTTCCACACATTTTTTGACTGCATCTAAAGAGTGGTTTTTTGGTGGTTTTTCACAACTGACATGACACAGGTTCTTTTTGTAGAACCCCTAGTCTCAGGGTGCACATATTAAGATTGTATCAGGATGCGTATAGTAGAAGACTGACTTCCTCATCCTAAACAAACTTTTCACATTGAATGTCTCATGTTAGTGTAGTCAGAATTAAGTATATAAACATATATACCATAACTTTCTCAAAACCAGAGCAACACTCTTAGCAGCTCTTCAAGGAACCTGCTATCTTTAAATTACTCCATTTTGTTACCCTTCACATTACACTTTTCATGTTTAAAAATCATGAAGATCTTATGCCCATAATCTTTTGAACTCTTTTCTCAGACAGTATAATCAATACATCCACCCAATATTCAACTTGCATTGAAAGAATTTTATTATATCAATTCCTTGAAATAAACAACAGAAATTATGTAATAATTTCATTGAGGCCTTCAGCTGCTGTAATTAAAATAAAAATGAATTAAAAAGAAGCCTCCGAGAATTCACTGATCTACAGCATCATCCCCAAAGGCTCAGAGAATTGTTTTTAATGTTTAAAGTAGTTTAAGGCCTCGCTGGAAACTATTGTACCATCTGGAAATGCGGTTGAAGGACAACATGAGATGATTACTGAACTACAGAAAGGCTAAAAGCTGCCTCTCAGTAGCAGAAGTATGGAATTAAAAAGTCTGCAACTGTGATTAGCAGAAAACCATTTCTTTTGTTTATTTCTCAAATTAAAAATTTTAGAATGAGAAGTTTATTAACACCAGAATGAGAATAAATTTTAATTGGTCCTCAAAAATTTAATGAGTTAAGGATTGAATGCTGATGCCTAATATTATTGCCCTATAAGCAGGGTAAATTTCTTTTTTTTCACATGCTGATTTGTAATAAAATCAAGATTTTTTTTCTTAATGGTGATGATGATTCATTTTCAGTCAGCTATCTGTAAGACATGGAACTCTTGTTGATAATTTGTCCAATTTTGTTTTTATGCAGAGGCATGATGTCCACTGTTAAGTGACAATGAGAATAGTTTGAGGGATAATGGCAACAGCAGGAGCAACAGGAGGGTAAGATAAGCTCTAAGTTTTCATTTTTCTAGTGCCATAAATCTTGATTGCAACCTTCTTAAATTGCATTAGATTTAAAATTACTTGCTTTAGTTGTTCCTTGTATAGAACTTCTTTCACCAATCCTATTGATGCATTAAAGTTGTTAAACATCCCAATGATCAATATTGCAGTGTATTCAAAATTGAATAACATGAAAATTAATCCCTCTCAATCAACATTTTTAATGTAAATAATCAGAAAAAGATTGTGATAAATAACTTAAGTTCTGTCAGCTGTTATTTGTGTAAACATTCTGTTCCATTTGTGAGAGATGTACCATTATCCAGTTTAACCCCGAAATGATGGACTTTAGCGTTTCCTTACTTTACCCATCCCTTACTTTACCCATCCCTAATTTGCTAATACAAGTTGAAATTATTTACTATTGTAGACAAATGATGATCATCAGATTAGGGAGGGTTAAGCTGTTAACATGGTGCATTAAGAACCTTGCCTGTTATATACTGGTCCATTTTAAAGTACATATAGGAGGAAATATTTGCGACCTGAGCAAGTGTCTGTTTAACTAATGCAGGGTTTCCATTTTTATGAGGTCTGCTCAAAGGAGATCTCTCTGTTCTCAACCATTGCTTTGCCTTGAAAATATACTCTTGTTTAGACATCAAGGGGCAGTAAAGTGTATGATCATCAGATTAGGGAAAGTTAAGCTGTAAAAACATGGTGAATTAAGGACCTTGCCTGCCGTCTACTGGTCCATTTTAAATTAAATGTAGGAGGAAATACCGTATTTACTCGTGTATAAGTCGACCTTTTATGACCGAAAAATCAGCCCAAAAAATCACTTTCGACTTATACATGAGTCATACACAAAGACCTGACCCAAGCAATCCAAGAAATTAGCATGAAAATGTAAATGTAAACAATTGTCTGAAGTCCGTCAAAAAAACCGAGTTCATAAAACCAGTTCGAATTGTGTTCGAGTTTCGTCACTTTTCAGCGCATTTTTCGTCCACAAAAGAGTTTGAAATAATAAACTTTGAGTGGCTTAAGACAAAGCTATTGGAGCTGATTTCAATTGTATCTTCGGACTGTAGAACAGACTTTATTTCTCACAGCTTCGCTGTTGTTTACAGTGCGGAACTTTCGAGTTCATCGAGCGATTACAGTAGCTTAGTAACCTGGCAAATACCGTTCTCTTGCGCGGTCTAGCTTGTTACATATCCATTCGGCGTTCCTTCGGTTTACTTAATCTACTTTCAAACTCAACATTAAGATAAAGGCTAGTTGAATACAAGAAGATTTCATTTTCAATGTGATTTACAAAATATGGTAAAACACTTCTACAATAAATCGAAGTGTTAGTGTGTGCTTAAATCGCGGTGATATAAACTTCAAAGCACACGGTTACATTTTTCTCCACAGTTTTTTAACTCCCCGTGTTGTCAATACATTCCCAGAAATGAGAGATTAACCTTTGGGAAGTTTCCATCTGTCTGCATTTTACTTCTTGGACTAGAAATGATGAAAAATCCGACTTTTGCACTGAAAAATGGGGGGTCGACTTATACATGCGTTTGACTTACACACGAGTAAATACGGTATTTGGGACCTGGGCTAATGTCTGTTTAATGCAGGGTTTCCATTTTTATGAGGTCTGCTAAAAGGAAGTCTCTCTGTTTCTCAACCATTGGTTTGCCTTGAAAATATACCCTTGTTTGGACATCACGTTCAGAAATTCTAAACCCTATGTAATGTAATGTTTGCATATATGGCAGCATAAAACCGTGTTCCTTATGTCTCTGCTCCCCCTTATGTTACATGCCTATAGCATAGGTTTGGGAATAAACAATGCATATTTGAAGTCCACTCATACATCACTTGGATGTTCCATTGCAAAAATATTGGCACATACCATTTATTTATTTATTTATTGAATTCATAGATCCACACTAAACAGTGTTACAGAAAACCAGAAGCGATGGTTGGTCTTTGGAATTGCACTGAGCAAAGTTCTAGTTTCCCAAATACGCCCTTTTGTAGAAACAGAAATCCAAAAAGAATATGGCAACCTTCAAACTAGCCATGGCATTCATGCTCAGAGCACATCAGGGCGTCTTAAGCATTGGCTAATGCCCTTGAAGTATGAGAACATCAATGGTAATGCTGGAATTCCTAAACTGTCTCGTGGAAGGTATGACTTTTCTAAGTTTGATTGCCGAGTGATGTCACATGTTGACTTTGCTAAGTTGTATGTGGAGAATCACATGGCTAAATTCAATGCATTTGATGAGTGCTGTGATGCATCAGCTGTCCTTGCACTGCTTGGCAGAGTCCCAGTGTTCTCTGTTGATGTACAAAGAGCAGCAGGTGCTGTAAGAGAGGCTAGGAATGCCTGGGCGCACTGTGTATTCCGTGAATGGAGTCTTGTGAATTATCAAAAAAACTTTGCTGCTATGGAACAGCTTGTTAAGAAACTTGGCCTTCCAGGTTCCAGCACAAACGACCTTTTAACAGAGCTAAAAGATTGGGAGGACAAAGGTATCTTCTTTTATTTATAGTATATTACATTTATTTTCTTTAGTTGTTATTATTAGTGTACTTGTGTTTAGAGGTGCACAATATTTTAACACCCTTGCAAAAATTTTAAAAAGAAATCAAGTTTAAATCTACTATCACAGTGTTAAATACCCATTGTATGCAAAATAATAGTTAGTGATGTAGTGTAAATGAATAGTTGATTGGTGTGAGAAATCATGCAAACAGCTAAATGGATGGTTCAAACTTGCTTGAGTGGGTAGTCAGATGTAGATTGAGAGCCTTGAACTTTCACTGACTCTTCCCCAGGAATGAGAGGTGCTTATCATGGTTAAAGGTCTTGACTTGGTGTTCATAATTCTTCTGATGTTTGTCAAAACACAATATCTATGGTTAGCAAAGTGTTGCTATAGGATGACAACTCATGTAACCAGTGCATGTATCACATGGATGGCATTTGTACTATACATTGTTAGGGTTTTCAGTAGCATTTGGAAGTACCGGATGTAGTGGTTCAGCTGGCGGACGTGCATCGTTCGTGCCACTGGCCCGAAAGTTGACTGCCAGGGGCACAAACTCCAAGGGGGGTCTGGGGGCATGCCCCCCCCCTGAGAAATTTGTAAAATTGACTCTCTAAAATGCAATTGCCTGCATTCCCTGAGATGATGTACAAATGAAAAGTGAGAAAGACCAATTCAGACAGATGCTCTCTGATCAAAGATCAGGGTCAGTTGTCGGCGAACCTGTCTGGTTAGTTATAAGCTTGCAGAGGAGGGGGAAGGGGTGGGGAATGATGAATAATGATTTTATCATACATGTGTATGACAGGAATGATCTTCTTTTTTTTTTTCCGATTATGTATATTACATAAGTAAGTGAGAAAAATAGGGGTCAAGTCTTTCTTTGGTTAATATATGGAAAAAACGATATTCACTCTTTAAAAAATTATTATTTCGTGTGTGAACTACCGGAGGTTACATGTCAAACAACTGGACGTTGCGTCCGGCGTCCGGCGTCCGGCGTGAAACGAAATCCCTGCATTGTGCTCTGATTACTGACCTTGGATGGCTTTTCCTCTTGCACTCTTAACTCTTTCGATTTTATCGCTGAAGTTTCAAATTGTCTCTGGACAGCTTCCTGTTAAGACTTCTGATTCTCAAATGGCATTTTAATCTGGACTGGTTGACAGGTGTGAATTTATAAAGATGGCAATGGTAGAGTCGAGTAACTTCTGTGGGTACCGAAATTTTTGAAAAGATATTCTTTTAAGAATATCTTTCAAAATTTTCAGTACCCACAAATTAAAAATTGTTTGCATTCCTTTCTGAAAATATCCAAGGATTAAGAGCTATTGTATCATGGTCTTACGGAATGCACTTTTATCTTTGGTCCAGACGTGGTAGCAGACGTGGAAGTAGTTGTCTCTCAGGAAGGAATACAATTTTGGCGGGAGATTCATCCTTGCCTCAAGTGGGTTCTTCCGTCAGCCTCCGTGAGGACTTATTTAATGCACCAATATAAACAACGACTTAGTGCTCTGTTTGAAACTGGACCAGTAAATAGAGGAAAGTGAGATTTTTTGGGGTCAAAAGGGAACACTTTATGGATCTACGTTTTCCATGACAATAATAACGCCAGTGCCTATTGCTGTCTCGTAACGATGCAGTGAATTTTGGATATTGAGTTGTCAAGAATTCAGGATGCTGCTAGATGACACTGAGCTGTGTTCATGACTACTGTAAATATTTCCCTTTTCTATCCACAGTTCTCATGGCTTAAAGTGCCTATGACACGAAAACTTTTTTTTGTATTTCTTTCGCTCGTCATATGTACAAACCAATTCCGATAGATAAAAAATTAAAAAAAGATAAATCAGGGTTTTTCGGGCCCTAAGGTGCTCCTATTTCGTCTAAAAAGTGTCCCGTACACTGGTAACGAGTTAGCAGGTGACGATTACAAATCTCTCACATCTCTTGTAATTTTGTATTAGTCAGCGTTGAAATACTCTTGAAATAATGTCCGATAGCGATGTATACCTACCCTCAGCAAGCTCTACCGCGGTTGTGATACTCAAGTAGTACTGAAAGAAGAAATGGAAGTTGCGAGTATGACTCAGCCCTACGGAAGAGAACCGAGTGCATCAAAATAACATTTCGATGAAGACTGACAAAGGTGACTTCTCGCCTGCGGTGATCAGGTCAAGATTAGAACAAAAAAATCCCGTCACTGAAATGTCAAGTTCGTTGCGTTTGTGTTTTGTTTTCTATGGCGAAATCTAGGTTAATAATGGGTAGCTGAGTTCGTTTCTGTGCCCCTAACATATTACTTCGTACTAAGTGCAGCGAATGTTCCCTTGGTCAGTGCTCTAGAGTCAGTTACCTCCTTTCTCCACCATAGTTGCCGACGTGTCTTTACAGTTTTCTGCGTCACAACTATGTAACATGATCGTTTTGGCCGCGCGCTAAATGGGGACACTTTTGGGCCGCCAAACGGTATTTTCAATGCGTAAAAAATTGGTCAAGGAGAACTCGTTAGGCGCTGAGGTCGATGATTTCAAATTTTAAATACAACTATTTACTGGAAAACGCAAAAAAATATTCATATCATAATTATCACTCTTTGCTGTTCTGGCAAATAAGGTGATATCAATGACCAGTTCTGTAGTGATTCATGTTTCAATCAGGAGAAATTGATTGACTTCAGTCTTGGATATTCCATGCTCAATACACGGCTGTTACTTGCAACCTTCTTTTTCACTAAAGCTAGTAATTTTAACCGTGCTCATCTCCACTGGATGAAAAAGGAAAAATGATCATTTTTCTAGATCTTGGCCTTGTTCTAAATTGAAACAGCACAGCCAGCTAATTTAATTTAAATTTTATTTCAGGCACGATTCTTTTTATGAACGCAACCATGGACCCTGATTTGTTGAATTTGGCACAACAGCACGTTCATGATCTGATGACAGATGTAGAAAAGCTGACGTTTGAAGTGAAAGAGGACAGAGAACGATTTTTATCAAATCTAGAGGACGTGGAAACAAGACTTGATCGGACGCAGGTCGAGCAAGAAGCCATCAAACGAGATCTGTCACAGAAAATCGAATGCGTAGAACAACGAGTCTCACTGCTGGAAAATCAAGGTAAGGAAAGTCAAAACAAACAAAAGTGTTATTCGTCTGACTATGAGCTTGCTTATATAGCAGATGAACATGGTTTGGTTTTATCTATCCGCGCCAAAAACTTTGCAAAGTTTCCTATGAAATAAGAACACAGTGATCCCGTCGGTGCACTAACTTTACCCCTTTGTATCCGCACCCACTGTGATTTTATTATCGAGGCGTGAGCATTCATGCTCTTGAATCCAACTGTCAAGTTATTTTTTAGCAATAAATAAAACTGTCATTTGATCCGTAAGGTCACGCGCGTGCTTTTAATGAAAAACACGATGAACAACCCAAAGAGATGTGGGCTAAAAGAAGAACGAAAGAACGAAACGAGGCGTTGATCATACGATAAAATGCTCTTTGACTGTCTAAGGTCAGGATGGACGCAAAAGTACTTAGCTCTCGGTCGTGGAGAACGAACCTTGAGCCAAATATTAACCCTCCAGCCCCTCCACCCAGCCAATAATAATGTTATGATATTTATTACACCCATTTTGAAATCGCTGATGGTCCCTGTAATCTGATTGGCTCTAATTGGTGCGATTAATTCACGAATCGCACCATTTTTTGCTTTAAATCGCATCTTTTTCCCAGCCAATGCGCAGGCCACACTAAAAACAAAACAAGCAATCCGATTTCAAGGCTTGTCTAAAATAACCAATCAAATTGCAGGAAAATGAAAGACAAAGAGTATCATGTGGCAAATTTTGCAACTTTTGTTTCCAAAACTCTAATTTTTTCCCCAAAAAATGGATATATGGATCAAACCAGCTCAGTACTGCATCAACAAAATATTTGAACTAACCAAGTCATGTTTTTGGGCGATTTCAAAATGGATGTAATAAAGTGGTAATTGAACCTCGTGTCATGTAATTTTTTTCTGAAATCATACTTGTGACTTCAAATCAAACTCGCGCTGCGCGCTCGTTCGATTTTGAAATCAAGCGTATGATTTCAGCCCTAATAAGATACATGAAAAAATTACTCAGTTCTGATTGGTTAAGATAAATACAGTTTTCAGGTGATTTACTGCAGAAGAGGGTTCATTCAGTACAAAGAAGTAACAAACCAGACATTCTGATGGGTCATTAGTCAAAAAAATTCACAGATAGCAAATCAAATGCGAGCCTTGGATGTCGCAACATTTGGATACGCTGAAAATTTGCGAGCAAAACAATGGCCGGCGTTTTAAGTAGGTTTTAATTTGCCACCGCAACAAAAATATAGCAACTGAAAAACAGCTCTAACAACGAAAACACTGTAAAAAGCACTGCTTTTTGGTTGTCGGTTTGGAAAAAGTGGTGTTTAGAGAAGGGAACTGCTAAGGAAATCGAGAATTACGAGCCGACCCAGTTTAACACTTTGCTCGAGCGATCCTACGCCGAAATTAAAAACAAACATGGTTAAACCGCGGAAACGACGATTCCATTTCATCGAAAGTGATTCGGACACAGACTGAACAGTTCCTTGAACTGTTTAGCCAGACTTTGAAGTTTTTTGCGCCTTATAGATGTGAAAATATTGTATATCTTTGTTTTGACATAACGCACAGTTTGAATAAATTATTTTTGCACTTGATGCGCGCACTTTGGTTCTGCATAATTATGATGAGCTATCTCGTATACATTTTTCATGTATATTATTAATACGTAATCACATGATTTTTCTTGTGCAATTTGGAATGAATAAGCACTTGTTAATTTTTTCAAAGACCGCAAATTGCACTCCCTACGGGCTCGTACAATTTTGTTAGTCTTTGAAAAAATTTACTCGTGCTTATTTATTCCAAATTGCACTCGAAATCATGTGATTACCCATACGAATTGCACTCCGCTCAGTTCAATTACCATTATAAATCCAAGCTATAAAGTTGGAGTGTCGTACGATTATAAAAATAGCTACTTATCGAATCATTTTTTCTCTATTCAGAGGCCTGCAGTCCTAAAGGTTCAGGAGATGTGATATCTCAACAACGCCACAGCACAGTGTCTGCGGGTGAGTTCCTTTTGTCCCTTATCAGACTGCATAGTAAAAATTAGCACCCAAATAGTAATGATACAGCTATTACTGAGTGATACAACATCAGTGATCATTGAACAGTAAGATCGAACAATTTACATGATTCTCCCCATTATCCAGCCATAAATAGTATTTAGATTCGAAAAAATAACGTCATTAACTTTTACCTACTTGCAGAGATTTCTGTGTTTGATGCCGATATCAAATTTTTTGCCGAGCGGCATGACCCACGCACAAGAAAGTGGTTCTTTGATGATTTTAACACCTGGTTCCATAATCCTGGAAACACTCGAGCTTATGTTTTACTTGGCGACCCAGGAGTCGGAAAAAGTGTTATAGCCGGAGCCCTGGCACAGCGAATGAGAGAGACTGAACAGTTAGGTGCAGCATACTTTTGCCGTCACAACGATGGTACCAGAAACGACCCCAGATATCTCCTTGGAACCGTTGCCCATCAATTAAGTGCTTGCAATGATGAGTATAAAGAAATTGTAGGGGGAGAGGATGGGGTAAAAATGCTGTTGGGTAACTCTAAACTCGGTGTCAAGGAACTTTTTACTAAACTGTTATATGAGCCATTAAGTATGTGTAGGCCATTTCATAAGAAATTTTTAGTTATTATTGACGCCTTAGATGAGACTGAGTCCGGGGAAGATTTTCTTGATCTTATTAAGCATCGTTTCCCCATGCTACCCGAATGGCTTGTGTTCTTTGTCACCAGTCGCCCTGGAGATTCTGTTCAATCAAGGCTGATGAGGTACAACCCTTGTATTAAAATTTGTTCCGGTAACAGCGACCAGCAGAACGTTTATCAGCAACATGAGCAAGATATCCAAAACTTTTTGAAAGAGAGGATTAATTTCCCTTGTGTTAATATCTCGGTTGACGATGTGTTCGAAAAATGTGACGGATTATTCTTGTACGCACATTACATCGTGGAAGAATTGAAGGAGGCTTTGGCTTCTGGTAAGAAAATCAGTAATTTAAACAATCTTTTCCCGGGAGATATTGAAGAATTCTTCCTGCATAATTTTCGCCGCGTCTATGACCACGTGGGAGAAAATATCTTTAAGAAGTTGTTTGGTTGTGTCGTCGTAGCTCCATCTCCGCTCCCTGTCTCGGTTATTTCGTTCATTCTAAACAGGGAAAACTCAAATCATGATGAGCAACAAGTGATCGATGCTGTATCGCAATTTTTGGTGTTACGAAATCCTGATCAGACGTTAACTTTCCTGCACAATCTGGTCCCAGCCTGGTTGACAAACGACACAAAGGCTCCACGCAAACTATTGATCTGTAAGAAGATGGGAGGTAAGTATCTCAGTGAAGTTTTTGTTGAAATTCTCTCTTCAATTGTCCAAGAATCGTCATCGCCTTGCACCTCCATTGACGTTAAGTTGAAGGACTATGTGATGCGCGTTGCGGTTTGCTTCTTGAGTAAGTTTGGAGGAAAAGATTGGCTGGAGCTTGTGTTTACATGTTTGACAAATTATCATTTCATTGAGAGAAGATTGCTGTCGGGAAAAATTGAGATATATCATCTGCTTCAGGATTTGAAGCTTGTCAAGGGCTGCCTAGATGTCGGTGATAAAAAGAAACAAGATCTTCTTCAAGAAATTGCACAGGTACTTTTATCAAATACCTTTATTCTTTTTGAATGCCCGCAACTTCTGCACTCCTGTTTACGAACGGCCTCCAGCGCTGTTCAAGAAACTCTTCTGCTTACCAAATTTCCAGTTCCTTGGTTTGAATGCACTGTTTTTGCTATCGTAGACCCTGCAATCGCTGATATGAATTGTTTTGCCACATCATGTGATAATAAGACAGTTGTTGGGGCCAAGGGTCGGTCACTCATGTTTTTTGATGCACGTAGAGCACAAAGAGCAGATGGCCCTTTCGAGATAAGTGAACAGATCATTCACAATATCAGTCACTTGGAATACTCTCGTGACAGCAAATTCATCTTTTTTGGTCGGCTTGACAAGTGGTTTTCTGTTGAGC